TACGTGTCAGTCAACCCAATTTCGACAAAAGCAATGATGCAAGGAAATAGAATCGTACTTGTTAGTCCGAGCATACTTTGATCTAAGATTTACTCTGAATTTATCGCTATTTCTTCCTCACTTATTTTACACTGTTTGATCTGAGCGAAATATCAGAATATTACAGATGTAAGAACGAATAAAATGATCAGTTCGGTTAATGTTTAGCTGATGAATGATCGCAATTGATCAGAAATTCTTGCAGTATTGCATTATCTAAAAAACGCATTAACACATTGCTCGATAGAAACATTTTATTTTCTGTAAACGATTTGAATTCCTATAAAAAATTTACATTAAAAGTGAGAAAAAATTGATGCAAACTATTAGCACTGAAAATAATTTTTTCGATTACTGATTCAATTGTAAATTATTAATTCAAATTGAAAATTTTTAAACATACAAATAATTAAGTTAATAATCAAACATTCCGAATAATCTAACGCAATAAAAAATACTTTTCAAATTCATTTTAAGTAATTTTGAGAGAAACAAAAGCGATAAGTATATTTAAGTCAAGTCAGTCAGTAACTTTTCTTTGCAGAAAAAACAAAGCACTTATGCATTTTTATTTTCAAATCTCACTCTGTGCTAGATTTAGTAATTAAATAAGCACTAACTGCCACATATTTGAAACTAATTTTATTGTAAAATTCTAAATTAAATTCAAAATAATTTAAATTTTGCACTCAAATCTTACTAAAATTATATACCTCCATAGAAAAAATATCGAAAGTCTTTAAGAGTAAAAAATTTTTCCAAAAAAAAAATGAAAAAAGATGAAAATATCCGTATATCGATTGAACACATCTGCAATAAACCGGTCTATCTCTGTGTAAATTGAAAAAAAAGACCTTAGAAGAAAGCGTAAAATTCGTAATACGATTGCATGATTGCTACGACGTGTTAGTGAGATTATACAGTGAGTAGTATTTACATATGCAAATTTTTTTATAAAAACTATGTGGCTTGAATGATACACATGCAGTGCTATCAAATTTACGTTGACTTACGTGAAAATACTAATTACAGCCAAATTTTAGATATTATCACAAGTTGTGATACTTGTAAGAGACTAAAATTTGTTACAATATGTTTCTAATAAAATTAATCGATTTAGAATTACATACCATTTATTGAAATAAAGTTATGATTATAGTAAAAATATTTATTACTACTTGCTTTCAGTTTGCATATATGTATATAAAGAAATATGAAGGTTAGTTTCCGTTTTCGCTTCGTCCTCGTGGAATCCATATCGACTGTCGAAAGAGATGCTTTCGAGCGTCTTCTTGAGAATTATCGATTGGACGTATGCCTCAACATGCACAGATATACTGGTCTCCTTCGCAGAACGACTATAAGAATTCGTTACAATCGCACCCAAAGTCATCCCATACGGAATTATTTTGGTCCTCCATTTCATCTCTGACCCTAACTTATTAGCGGGTGGTTAATATTTTGGCTTTTTCTCAGTCCCGACTGCTGTCAACCTGCCCTGACTAGTGATGCCAACCTCAATCAGAGTTACTTCACGTCACTTCATATCGTGTATCATGATATCCGGTCGATCCACTTTTATTCTAATTGCAGTTCTCACTTGCGTATCGACTCTGATCTCAACATTATCATTCGCGACGACCTCCTGAATAATATGGCTTCGCAAGCGCGGTAATGCTTTCAGACCATACTTTTTGCAGAGTCCTAAATGGATGCATCATAGGACCTCATTGTGTCTTCTAGTATAGTCGTGTTGTAACATTTTTTCGCACTGCGCTGCTAGATGGTCCACCGTCTTCACACGTTCCTTACAATGTTGGCACATATCTTTCTCAGTTCCAACCATATTTCTACTTTGTAGGTTACAGTATCTTGCGCAGTAACGTTTCCGTATTGTAGCCATATTGATGAATCAACTATGGACTAGATTTTATTCGCCCGCATCTTGTATAGCTTTGCATGATGGGTTTTCACTTCTCTTTCGCTATACAAGAACGCCTTCTGGGCTGCTAATACGTTTTCAACGATAGAATTTTCTCCGAGGTTGTACTTAGTCTTTAGATAGGGCACAGTAATTTCCAAGTACGTATTATTGTGTAAATAAAGTAATATATAGTTTTAATTTATTATACGTGTTATATTACGCAAATATTGTACATTAATTACATACTAATATCACATGGCTTAACAAATTACAAAAGCTGGTGACCTTATGAGTTACTCTGAAGTCAAAAATCTACATAAACATTTAACAAATAATATCAATACTAGAGAAAGATCATTATTTGACAAGTAAAACTAAAAATTGCTTTGAATTTAAAACTAAAACAGTTAATAATAGTTCTAAAATTATTAACAAAATTAAAGCTACTCTATACGAAGTATTTTTTCTTTAAATTTTACAAAAATAATTTGTTTGATTTTTCATATTTTAAACACATTCATGCAAAAAAAACTGTGTGGAAGAAAAAGAAAATGTACGTGAAAAATTTTTTATTGTTGTATTTTTGAATATGCTAATTACACACAATCAATCAAGTGGTAACTTCATTATGTAAACATGCATAAGTAAGCAATACCAAATACAAATACTAAATTAAATGCAACTAGAATATAAAATTTTTAAAACTTTTCAGCAAAAGTTCAACAAATTGTAAGAAAATCGCTGATCGATCAATACTCTCGTGAAGTATATACAATCTGGCAAAACTGTCTTGCACAAGCATTATTGAGGCAGAGAAAAACGTGTAGAAAGAAGAAGAAAGTAAAAGATAAGCAATCATTTGAGCATTTTTCACATTGTACTGAAAACGTCTCAGAGGATTTGCTTATCCTTTGCTCAGCCATCTTCACTTATAACTTCATGTCCAAAAATAATACGCAAATCAAGTACAGTTAACAAATTCTAGAGTAAAAGTGCATTCAAATGTGGTTGATAATCAAATAAAATGCGCAGTGTTTGCTTGAATGTAATACTTTGTTCATTAATTTTTAATAATGATATCAAAAATTTTATAAAGCATAATTGATTGCTTATTTTTACGTAATTATAAAGCTTGATTAAATAAGTGATCAAAATTAAAACTGCTAGTCAATATGTAAATTTAGTGAATGACAAAGAAGGAAAACATTTGTGCAATGAGCATATGATTGGATTAATGTACTGATCTTGTCAATAGATGCAGAGAGTTGAGAAAAGTAATCAGTGTGATAACAGATGCATTTTATCAATCTATCAAATCAATCAATCGATTAATCAATTAACAGTAATTAATTAATCAATCGATACTACAATTCATTTAATAATTAATTAATCTAAAAGTATAAACATTTCATTCTGTGAGACGCTACAATAAGTAGACAAAATTCAAAATTAATTCACATCAAATACATTAAAATTTATGCAAAAAATTGACCATACATTATTATAAACTCGCATTAATTTCACTTAATATAATGCATTTCGTTCTGAACCAGTCTTAAAGAATATTCCAGTATTTCACATTTACATGGTAGCGCAAAATAGACGTGGCACACGTGAATATCCTTGACCCACCCCTACGCATAATTTTATGTACCTCTATGTCAAATTAACTGCTAGTTTCATTGGAAATCTCACTAATTGCTAGTTCCGACCATTTTCTTCTATTTAATGACATCATTTAATATTTCTTTCAGAAATAAATTCTAAAACTTCAATTATTCCACGTTTTTGCAGATAAATGAAAAACTATTTGCGCATACTTCTCTAGCAACTAATACATCAGTCAATATAATGTTTGAATACAATAAAATAGACCAAAAATAAAAAGGTCCATTCCCAAGTCTCAATATCGCTAAAAATTTTTTCTCAACGATTTGAAAATCTGATCTCCAACAAATAATCCGTTATTTTGCAGGAATACTTGCATTGACCAGTGAATAAAGATAATATGAATGTAACGTTAGGAGTAAGTCACGATATTCATTGCTATTTAATTTTCGCTGCTCATTACTAATGTTCAATATCAATAGCAGGAATCACTGTGCAAAAAAGTATAATGCTGTAAGTCACCAAATTCAAAAATATTCCCTTAACTCGAAATATAAGACAGTATAACTGTTTTACTTCTTACTGTCACATTCGCCTTCTCTCCTTTTTACCAACCATTAGTATGCGCTTACTGTGTTCTTGAAAAAGTAAAGTGTTTCAACGAAATTATTTAATATTTCACCTTAATCTCCAAACTCTTAATCAAGGCTGCTGACATTGAACAATGTGTAAATACTTTTGAGGGTTTTAATCAAGAACATAGTCATATATAATATATTCTTGAGTTGCGTGCAATAATTCACTAGACCTTAAAAAGAAATCGAGGAAGGGGCTTATATTTTATCTGCAACGACAAATTTTCGCAACAATTATTTCCTGTGTGCACGAATAAACTGTTTCACGCTAATATTTTGTCTGCATATTAAATTACAAAGTCTTGAGGAAATAAATGCAAATGGGTTCACACAATATACATTGAATTACAAATTAAATGTAATAAAAAACGACTTAAAAATCAAGCCAATATTTAAGTTGAATTCATACCACATCTCACAAACATGATATGAAAATTTGATTTTCGTAGGTCAACAAATGTTTAAACTTATAATCATTTGCCTCCTAACATTTGTTCCAAATTCACCTCTAGCGCCAAGTAGAAAACGAGGAACTGAAATAACATTTTCATATTAATGATTTATGAATATTATCAAAATAAATATCTTTATATAAATTGCAAAAAATAAAAGCAGAAAATGATACGAACAAGTTGGCATGTGAAATACTGCGCATTTTTACGAGGATAAAGATATGCATATTTGTGCTAGAATTTATAAAAATTAGAAGCTAACATTTCGGTAGCTTACTGAAATATTGAATCTCTGGATAATTTCTTAATTGAAATCTATGAATTAAAATAAGAAATAATGGATTAAAACCTAGTAGACGTAGGCGGATTCAAGCCACCACCAAAAATTGAGCTTTTCTGGGGTTGCTGTGCCAATGCGCCGAATCCTCCTCCACCAAATACAGTACTGGAGGACTGTTGCTGTTGTTGCTGTTGTTGCTGTTGTTGTTGACCTGCAGCAATAGAACCAAATCCAATCGAACTTGTTTTAGCAAAGCTAAAAAGAGGAAATTTTTGCTTCATTACTGTACAATAATCATCATTAACAAAGAGCTTTATTAAAGCATACGTAAATTTTTCAAGGACTGAAATTTCACTTTATATTGCTTTTTTCAAGGACTGAAATTTCACTTTGTATTGCTTTTGTGTGGCCTATAAACTTACTAATCCATTTATTTCGAAAAATGTAAAGTTTGTTTAAAATGCAACAAATCTAATTTTACTAATTAATGTATGAAAAGGCTCAGAATATTTTTATGTATCCCACAAAAACTTTGATCGAAATACGAAATAGTGAATTCGGTAATGCAATTATAAAACCAATAGAAGGAAAACGATTTTAAAAGAGATGCACGAATTCAATTTTGAAAAAAGAAACCAGTTAAAAGAAATTGACTACACCGAAGCTTAAAAAATTTTATTGGGAAAATGTGGTAGATAAAAAGTGTATGAACTCTCGAATCCCAAATGCTGAAAAATAAATACATGCAAATATTAACAATTGATCACAAAAACACTTACGAAGAGAATCCAGTGGAAGTAGCTTGTTGTGGACGTTGTTGTCCAAATCCGGATGTGAGTGGTGACGGAGATCCAAATACCGGTTTTGAACCAAATGTTGGTGCACCACCAAATGTAGCTCCACTAGCTAAAATTTTAGTTTTCAGCCTTTCAATATCAAAAGTACAGTTTTGATAATGAAAACGATCTACTTCACAATCAGTTCGTACTTGACTACATTTTACTTGTTGACATTATGTCTTTCCTCAAAAAAAAATTAATTTAAATAAAGGGACTTCATAGATTCACTTCACTGGAAACTTACATGGCTGAAACTTACTTGTTAATTTTGCTTGAAAAACACTGGAGGAATCGCTTGGATTTGCTAAACCTGAACTAAATGAAAATGTAGACGGTGAAGCTGCACAGGATTTTTGGCTTTGACTGAAAATACCACCGCCAGAAGAAGATACTGTCGAACCACCCCCGAATATAGAACTACTCGTTTTGCCAGCAACATTTCCAAAAAGTGAGGTTGTTTGAGACTGGTTAGATAACGATCCAAATTTAAGAGTAGCTCCAAAAACATTATTTGAAGCGTTAGGATTGGATGCAGCATTATCGGAACCACTAAATATGTAAAACTTAAGCTTTCTGAGTCAAATTTTAATGGAAGAAACAAAACTTGTTTCAATAAAGCCAAAAAGAGAAAAACTTTACTTAATTTATGCACAATCATCATTACTAAAGTCCTCTGATAAAGCATAGATAAATTTTTCAAGCAGTGAAGAAATTAATCACTTTGAGAGTATACCAAATAAAATAATACATGTTTTCAAAATGATAAGAATAAAACTTAAAGAGTAACTGACAATAACTCAGCAAATATTAGTTAGCAGAAAATCTTATGACAGAAAATAGACAAACAAGGAAAGTGCTGACGAGAACAAAGCTGCTGGAGTGGTTGACGAAGTACCTTCTTCTTCCATCATACCATCATCCCTAAACAATGTTTTGATCTGGATTCTTTAGAATGAGAAGATTCAGAAAAATGGGTATATTTAGTCTTCCTAGCTATAATATATTTAAATTTAATCTATCCTAGCTGCCAGACTCATCATCATTAAATATGTAATTTTTAAGTTCAAAATGATGACTTTTAGATGTAACAAAGACTAAAATCGCTTCCATAACTATTGCCGATTACTTATCCCAATTATTACAATGCTCAAAATGTGAAAATGAGTGCTTTATGGACACAAACCCCATAGCATCTGCATCTGCTGGTTGAGTCACTGGTGCCTGGTCCGCGATACCATTTGCTGAATCAGAAAGAAATCAGTAAAACTTTAAAAAAGTGATTGCTTCACAATTATCAAAAAACACAAAAACCAACAAAACCAAAACACAATTTACTCAGTGTGTTCCTAAATGATGTATTAATGCATTATTTTTTTGCCTCCAAACCTTATCTATCTTGGATACTTTTTATAATTGCAGGACTGCAAAACACATTTTTATCTATGATGCGAAGCTGATCGCATTTTATAAATTTATTTTACAAAAAGTTTAAAAAAATAAACCTGAGGTAGATGATGTCGACAAACTTTGCACTTCTGGTAATTTAAAAGTGAAAGAAGGATTTGCTTCACCTTCCAATGATTTAGATTTTGTTAATGATGAAGATACTGAATCTCCAGCACTTGTGGTAATAACAGGATTTTGTGCTAAAGTTTTGTCCTTTTCTGTTGAGGACAGGTTTGAAACAGCTACTGAATCCGATGAAATTAACGATTTATTATTTTCATTAACCGACTGCTGAGAGATTTGCTCATCACCATTAATCTGAACTTTACGTTGATCTTACATTTCTAAGACAAAAAGTCACAATTTGAATTTTTCAAGAATTCATCTTAGGAATAACGGTAATAATAAATTTGTCTATATAAGTTTGAGACCAACTAATTTATTTTTCAAGACAACTTTAATTTGGGTACTCTTTGCTCAGATAATGTTTTAAGAATAAATGTCCTTGATCTCGCAATTTCTCCTCACATACTTTATTACTCTACGAAAAAAGGCACGAAGTATTAAAAAAAAATGCTGACTTACAAATTCGGATTTAATTGGCGAAACAGCAAATGAATCTTTTCCGCCAGAATTACTTTTGTCTGTGTCCTCAGATTGAGTGAATACATTTTTGAAAGAAAAAGTAACATTTTCGGACTTCGACTTATCTGAAGTTGATGTGAATGTCTTGGGCAGACTCTCAGTTATTTCAACAGCAGGAAGAATTCCAGTTAATACATCTGTATTTGTAGTAATGACGGTAGAAGTTACTGGATTGGTTGCAACTGTGTGATTCAAATTTGTGATATTTGTTTCTGTGTCAAAAAATGACTCAGCAGATGTTTGAGCAGAGCTCTGGAACAACTTCCGAAAGTTGCAGACCACAGAACAGCAACATGACCCACAATTTTTAGACAACAGTAAAAATTAGTTGAAAATGAAGGGAAATCCCTTTATATAATTTTTTTTGAAATCAACATGATCCACACGAGTGTGAATGATGTTGATTTCAAAAGAAAAATGGGAAAAAATTTGAAAATGGTGAAGTTGCAAAAAAGTTTTTAAATTAAAAACACTAATTAAAAAAATAACTTACATTGACCATTGCTAGATTGCTTATCATTATGGGAGAAGCATTTTTAGAAGCAGTAGAGTTCCTAAGATCCACGTCTTTATCCAACTTGTCCGTTTCTAAGCAAAAGAAGATGTTGAAGTTAAATAAAAAAATTAAAATACTAAAAAAAATTGTCCATATTTATGATATCAATTTAAAATATAAATGCACAAAAAAAGTTTGTATTTGATAAATAATACAATAAGCCAGTCAAAAATATTACTCAAAACCAAAAAGTCAGATGACTGTGTTCCAACATCCACAAGCCTGCAACACAATAACATTGTTTTTTGATCAAAGCTTCAAAGATGATGACAAGTTTATGTTTTAACGAAATGATGAAAAAAATTTGCTCGATTTCAATAAAAATAGTAATAAACATGATATTCTCTCTTTAAAAATTTAACAACTTGGAAGAAATTTGAACATAAAGCTTTCGTAAGCAATAATTACTTTCTTACTTTTACCTCTCACCAATATTAAAACTTGAAAAAATGATATCTATCATAGAACGTGAAAAAAAAAATTTCAGAAGAACAAACACTTTCTCCCGGGACTTGATCGATTTCAGCGCTTCCTCATACAGACGAACCATAAGATCATTTACAGAGGAACTTGATATTTCTGGCATTGCTTTGTCATGTGAATTAGCATCGCTCAAAACTGTGACTTTAGCCTCTTTCAGCGGAGCACGATTATTCAAAAATCTGCAGCAAAACAAAACTATGCTTGACTTTTGTATGGCATTAAGAAATATGGAAAAAATTTGACTTACAAAGAATATAGAAAAGAATCTGAAGATTTTCTATTAATTTTTTGCAAACTCTATATATAAATTACTTGATCAGTTTTTCTCGCTGATTAGAGGAAAGAACAACATTTTTATTCAGCAACCGCTTGCATGTTTTGTTGCTGAGAAAAGAATCCATATATGACGGCTTCATAGCACACGACTTACTATCTCCCCTATCCTTTTCTCCTGACTTGCTACAAAATTCAAGATATTTCAGTCATTACTTAACACGAATAAATAATTTGACAAATTTCCTTACTAGAAGACAGTCAATAAAGTATCTAGAGAATAAACTGCTTAAATTATCAAAAAAAAAAAAAGAAGTAAGAAACTATCACTATTTAAATGAACTACTTCGAATGATTTAGTAAGAAGAAAGTAGGAAGAACAGTTACTTAATTATAGCACTTATATCCGAAATCTTTCGTTCTAATTCAAGGAGAGTTTTTTGTTTAGAGACCACTCCCTTACAGATATTTCTAGCTGTCGCAGCAATATGTTGCTCTTGGTCAATGCTCAAATTTAATACAGATTGTTTTCTGAAAGAAAACTTGATCTCAATAATTTGATTAGTTAATAAATTGAATTATGTGAAATAACTCAAAACAACTGCAAAACAAGTAAAAAACGAATTTACAGAAATGGTAAAAAATTTAACTGTTTATACTCTAAAACCCCATTGATTACTGAATGTAAAAACTATTAGATATTAATACCTGACATTAACCTCAGCAGCTGAATATTTGAGTAATGCACTTTCGACATTGCTAAGTTTCTGCTTTACTTTTATCAACTTATCTTCCAAATCATTCAACAAATACACCTGAAAAATAGATTATAATTGAAGTATGTAGTTCAGATTTTCGCTAAAAATGACAGCAAATGCAAAAACAAAAAAATGTCACATATTACATCATCGAATTCCAAAACTCCTTCTTCACAAGAAAGTTCACTTTCATCAATCATATCCATGATTCCCAGCTGTTCTTCAACCGAACACTTACATTCTTTTACTTGAGTATAAAGATCGTCAATCCATGATTCCACAACATTTCGAATTTTTTTTACTTCTGATATTTCGTCCCACAAATTAACATCTATAAAATTGAAATTACGAATATAAAATTTATCTAATTTGAAGAGCCAATGACAGATATATAAAAATATCTTCCTCTAATACTCACCATTATTTAGTTCAATTTCTTTTTTTGAGCTAATTATCATATTTTGCATCCAATCTATTCGTTCACGGAACTCAGCAGAAGTTTGATTGAAGATAACTAGCTTATTGCAAAGATCCTGCCGCAACTTAACAACTGGATCCAATCCAGCTTTTGAATGGTTAAGCTGTGAAGACTGCTGTACAAGATTTTTTTGAAGTACAGACGAAGTGTGTACATTAATAACAGGTTTACTTATCACATTACAGGTTGTCGCTGACGAAACAATCGCCTAAAGAACTTTGAAAAATAATAGTGAAAATAACAATCATATACAAGCACAAGATAGAATCGCGTTACTATTAAAAAATAAAAGTATGAATCTAAATGAAATACTGGTGCTGGAAAAAAAATCACCTTCTATCACCAGAATAACACAATTCTACAAAAAATCTAACCTTATTTTGCGTTTCTAATTTTAAGTCACTCCGGCTTAACGTCTTTAAAACTTTACTCGAATTTGATGAATCAAGTACGTTTACTTTTGCCAATGCCCGAGCAGGCTGATCTATTACGCACGATGAAAATTTTTGCGGTTGTTTATTCTGCGCAGTAACTTTAGGTTTTATATTTCCATAAATTTTTGAAGGAAACGCCTCTGGTTGTCTAAAAACAAAAAGTTCAAAAGTCACTTCCATGCTTGTACGCCTACACTCAAAATAAGATTACATTTTCTGTCTTAGAGCTCTGAAAAACTCAACGCTTAGAAGCGAAATTTTAGCATTTATCTAGCAAAAAATAATAATTAGGAAGTAAAGACATAAGCTTTTCAAGACAAAAAATGCAAAAAATGATTTATACCTATTAATACTCTGATGATCAGTGCGAAATGATAGTGCATGGAAAGGAAGAAGAACTCCAGTAGAAGATAATATCAGAATAATAGGACATGGTGGATATTCCTTACTATCACCTGAAACACATTTATACTGCAACTATGAAAACAAATAGATCAATGAAAAATCTTCAATGATAAAAAAGTTTGGTCATAATTAGTTAAGCCCGAAGCATATCTGATAAAAGAAATAGCAAGAATAGGAGCTTTTCAAGTTTCGATTGTAGTTTTTAGATATATTACCTAACTTGACCGGTATAACCGATGAAACATCAACAGAAACACCGACAGGAAAAGTATAAGAAAAAGAATCATCAAAAGGCATTTCAATTCGTCCACTATCATCCAATGACCAGATTTTCCACTCTGCTTCTCTTTTACCCAGTAGTGTTATCTGAAATGATTTTATATTCTCAGAATTTTAAAAGCTGAATCAAAAAAAATACATGTACTTAGAATGTTTTAAAGTTTCGCATTTATATCAAAAGAATTTCAGACACAAAAGAATATTGAAGACCTCAGTGGAAGATGATGAAACGCATAAAACTAAGTTCCAATCCATGATCTGCATAAATCCAACTTGTTGACAAGAAGTACTTTGATTACCGCGATAACTGATATCATCGAAATGTACCCACTCAAATGGTGCATTTTTTTTTGCACACAATTTCACTATATCCACATCATTTCCATTCTGAGGAGAATACGCGACAAGAAAATCGGTAGTAGTAAGCCAACTAATGCCAACACATCTCAAAGCACCTTTAAAATCACAACTATCAGTGAAAACTCATTTACTGAAAATTATTGAGAAATCAGAATTAAAAATTTTTCGAAATCCAATAAAAGTAAGATAGCTCGAAGCACTTGAAGATGATAGTCTCAGCACCAAAAGTGAATGAACCAAACCTGCGTTATCCGGAGTTGGTATTTCACGCACTAATACCATTTCAGGTTTGTATTGTTTTAAGTGACCCAACATATCGCCAACTATGAGTTGCTTGCCTTTTGGACTCCACGCAATGCAAGTTATTTGACTGTCATGTTTTACTAAGCCAACTAGAGTTATAGAAGATGACTTCTGCAATGGTTAAATTTTATTCAAAAATTTTTTCACTCACCTCTCAAAGGATGAAACTTAATTACTTCAGGTTATTAGATAAATAAAAGTAAACAACTACAATAAAAATAAGCAAAAGTAGATCTGTCTTTGATCAAGATGTATTAAGGTCAAGTATCTTTAAGATTCAAGTAGATACATTCTTCGTCACTAAATCCTCCACCACATCTTATCAATAATTACAACAAAAATTTGCTTGGAATTACAGAAGTAAAATTCTACAAATAAATTTTATTAGTAAATTTTTAAAAACGTTCTAATTCTGTTTTATTAGCACCTCAATGTCGAATGAATAACAGGACAGCACACCACTAGATGTAGAAACGGCAAAGATATCACTTCTTAACGGGTTCCATGTCAGAGCACATGGTATAGCATTTGCATCAGCGGAGAGCCGCAGAATATAAACTGGATCTCTCTACAAAATATTTGATTTTTAACAAAGTAAGTGGCGTCAAATATTTTTAACATAACAAGTAGTTAATAAAAAAATTTGATTCTTAGGTCTTACTTTTTTGTATGAAAATCGCTCACCACTTAATGAACTTCAATAGTGAGTGCAAAATAAAAATACCTGTTCCACCAACTCAACGGCGAATCCACATAAATCATAAAGAAATACAAAAGCACCGGATTCCATATGCAGTGAAACAGATAACAGACGATCACAGCAATTACAACTTAATCCGATTAATTTTGTAGTGGACTGAAAAGACAACTTTCAAAACAAATTTTCAGCAGTAACATCAAAACGTGTACTGTCTCTGAATTTTAAACAAATTAGAGTAATAACTCTACTGGCTTCTTATCTTATAGTAGCATACAATGATATTATTTTAGCACAGGCTATGAATGTTTTTCCATTAGTACTAAAATTGCAAAAATTAATTAAATATACAAAGTGGCGAAATAGTCAAGCATTTATTACTTAATGAAAAGTATGTATGTCTACATAAAAATCCATATATATAAAAAACTCCACAAAAATTAACCTTCTCAACTGGAAGATCCACAACCTTTGTCTGAATGTCGGCTAAATCTATATTATTTTTAGTAGTACTCAAATTATGAATATCGCTACTTCTTAGAGATATTAATTTACTGTTGCTAGCAGCACAAACGACAATTCCATATCGCGACGAAGTAGTAACCCAAGATGGATGTATATCACTGTCGAATGTTACATCGGATTTATCAAAAATTTTTATGCGGGGAAGCGCACGAAACTGGAAGTCCTGAGAGAGAAGAGATGTGATACTATGAAACGAAGATACAAGACCAATATTCTTAATCTGTCAAAACAATCAAAACTACTTAAACAATTTAAGTACAGTCATATAGACAGATGCATGAGCTTACCAGAACTTCCACACTCCCCGCCACATTTCTTTTTACATCTATTGAAGATGCGACCAAAGAGCCCTGAATGATTTTAATTAGACATGTACAAATTATGGTAGCAAAAACATTATAAGTTAATTTATACTTTTCGAACTAAGGAAATACTAACCGTTTCCATAACTGTTTACGCCAGCAATCTTCTTTTAAATTTATGTCCCTAAAAAATAACAAACAAGCAAATACTTTGTCATGTTAAAAGCATGTCACAACCAGTACTTTATACAGCGGCAAAATGAATTGGCAAATTGACAAGGTCACGTATTAACAGATTAGAAATCGTTGATAAGGTCACCTAATACTTTCCAGAACAAAATACACAATGAAGCATGAACCAATTAGCTACATTCAATCCACAGAATAAGATTTATGTAAATTTCCATACCAATTACAATTACAAACGCAACTTTTATACTATAACATAATGTTAGTTTTCTGCACCAAAATAGTCTACTTTTTTCCATCGAAAATTTATCCAAAATTAAAAAACATACAAAGTACCCTCCACCTTTCAGAGATAAATACCGCAAAAACGAGCCCCAGATTCAAAAAAAAACCTAAAGCAAAAAGGTGTCGGTATGAAACGAAAATGTATCTTTTATGAAAATAATGGTTCCTATTTGAACAAGTTAATCTGCAATATTTTTGAATATAAACTACAACAGTGTTTACTGGCGGGAAAGGTTTTGAAATAAGCTTAAAACAGTAGGGATAAAGTTTGTATGAGTTTAGTGAATATTATATTAATCCAGAAGTTGAAGCAGTACTTTATGGTTGGAACTAGTACAAAATAAAGCAGCTATGTGTAATATTGTGTTACAAAACAGTGCATGAAAAAGCAAAAAAAGTAACTCACCATTTAGTAATGCAGTATGGATAAAAGCTTAAAATATTCATATGTAAATTCTGAGTTATTCATCGCTTTACCTTCAATAAACGCGTTAAGAGATAAAATGATGTCATTGTAGTTTGGATGACAGTCCTGCACAGGTTGTAGTTTATTTCCTCTTGACCGTATGTTCCAGTGATTTCTATTGATCATGAATATCTTAGATTTATTTTATCGGTCTAGATCAAGTGACTCACTTATCGTTTGACTTATAATTTTAGTACTAACGTACATAAAATATGCATGGTAAGTGTGCAGTAGTAAAAAAATACTGCGCCAAAATCTTAATTAATATTGTATTAATTAATAATAATAAAACTTTGCGTTTAAAAAAAATTTTTTTTCTGTTCAAAATATTTCGCATGGCATCAGATTATAACGCTGTTGGTAATTTTTTAGATCTCTCCTTTAATTAAATTAGAGTTGAACTAAATGCAATTTCAGACTTAAATGGATATGAAGATGGAACAATTTAACCTGCCAGTTACACACAGTAGAAAGAAACCATCAGAATCGTATGTTGGCAAGCTTCATGAAACACAGAAGAGACTTGATGAGGTGTTGGAGGTCGTTCGAAATGATATAAACCGTTTCATCGAGCGAGAAGGCCGACTTCAGAACCTCACTGAGCGTCTCGGTAATTTTTTTCCTACTTTCATTCGTCTAAAATCAGAGATCCATAATTATTTTTTGCTTCTAGATTTGCATATTAAATACACTGCATATATCATAGTATCTTTACATAGTTATTATTTATGTATTGAAGTATGAGAAGCGGTCCAGTGGTCATTGTTTGTTCTTGTTCTGTCGAAGTGCGGTTAGTTCTCATAAGATTATCTTTCACGTTTTGAGATTGAACTTTTTTGTGTAAGACATGGGTAATCTATATCAGTTTTGTCTAATAAATGTATGAAATTTTTAAAATAAGTGGACTCTAGTATGCATGAATATTATATATTCTAGGCGAGATGGAAGCACGAGCAGAACAATTTTCACGCAAAGCAAACCGGGTAAGACGTAATGCATGGTGGCGTAGCGTGCATTTAACGATGGCATTGGTAGCTGCTTGCATGCTTGTAGTCGTGGGTCTTGTTGGTTAGCTTTTTATCATAGTTATTTTATAAAATAAATCAAAATATTGCCGCTTTATATTTTGGAACCAACTTTATTGTTTGCAATTTTGATCTAATAAATTATCAGATGCTCACTTACACTAGCTATTTTGTTTGAAGTATACAACAGAATCACTCTCCATCTCAAGCACTAGTTTTAAACAGAAATTTCAATTTACAGAATATCGAAAAAAAAATGCAGCGAAATCTTTCTAGTAATTATTAAAATAAATGTATTCCAAGAATCTCTTAAAAAATATCCTAGATCACATTTCAGTTCTTTCTATGTCTGGAAAACGCAGTAATGCTTCTGGATAGCAAGAATAATGGTGATTCCATTATGATTGTATTGAAATCTTTTGTATTGCTTTTTTAGTAGCTTTTCTTAATTAAGAAATTGCCATTAACTACTATTTGAATAAAATTATAATTTAATATTTTACAAAAAGTTTTCTGCTGATCTAATAAGTAATCAAAATCACATTGATTGCTGCCAACACTGAACAATAGAATCTTTATTGATAACAGGATCAAATATGATTGAATGGAAAAGTGTCTTTTTAAAATTTATTAAAAAGTGTTGGAAATCTTTTGCTAAGTAATCCAAATTCTGTTTAATTAAGGTCTTCGAGTATTTTTCGAATGCATTCATACATTTATAGGAAACTGATAGTTCGTAGACAAAGTTGAAAACAAACTCAAAAGTTGCATTGAATTTAAATTATAATATAAGTCTCACGAAAAAATCTTTATCACACTGAGCAATGAATGATATACACACACCCTGTTTGAGGCGCAAAACAATTTAGTAATTATTAAGTACTGAAAAATTCTACTTCAGAAGTGTTATCAGAGATTATTTCACGTATTCAAAACATGAAGTCGATATACTTTACACAAACTTTATGTTAATTTATATTTTTCAGAAAATTTAGTTTGGAATTTGGGGTACTATGAGGCATGAATAATTACTAAAACAATTAATGATATAAAAATAGATGGTTTCTGACGTGTAGAAATCTTTGCAACCGTAACATTTACTTTTGGTTGAGTAACTTTCAATTCAGGTACTACTGTAGTAGTACTTTGAAGATCAGATTTATCAGTAGCAGATGGTTCTGAGATATCTCGATGAGATCCTGCTATATCGATTACAATCGCTGGTTGATTCTCATCCAAACCACTCCCTCCATCTTCAAATTCATCCTAAACATTCAATTACATAAGCTACTGATATCAGAACTAGAAACTATAAAAATTATAGGTCAAATTTTCAGAAATTTCACTTTTAATTCTAAGTTTACAAATCTTTATCGACTGATTGAAAAATATACTCCATCTTCGTCGTCAACAGAAATATATGGGAAACCACTGCCTTCTACATCAGAATCTATGCTTTCGTTATTCATTCTCCTTCCTTCAAAACTTTCCAGTAGTCGATTCGAAAGCATTAATAATTTTAACCTTTCGATCAAAAATACAGCTGCAATTTGAAGCTTAGATGTTGGTGCTTTTTATCAATACGATTGTTTGAGCTCTCAGAATCAACGATTGTAATAGCGTCTTGTCATTTTAAAAGTTATCTCGTAACTGAACTTGCATCTATAATAATACACCAAAAGTTTAATTGCAAGATTATCTCAAAATTTGTACTTGTAGTAAAATTTGATTCATATCCATCGCTGAGCACCAATTTATCAGCATCTTTCAAATTATTTACCAATTTTGTATCATTCCAACAAAAAGCACTGTCATCTGATGCTGCCCACGTAGAATTAAAACACGTGAGCCGTGGGCCAATTCCCCAAAAATCTCGAGTTTCTTGTATCTGAAAAATATTCATTGGTTGGTTGAAAGACATATCCCATCTTCATCGTCAACGAAAAGCACATAGACATTTCCCTAATATTTGTCATTCTGCTTGTTACGCATATGAATTTAAATGTAATTACTGGTAGGAATTTGGAAGTAAGCAATTTAAATTAATGTCATAAAATTAATACGACAATTATTCATTATTTGCAGTGCTGTAAATTTACTCAATTACAGTCAAATTTTTCGATTAAACTTACCTTTGCAATAAAGGAGGTAAGCAATTGTGAGTGAGCGTCTGTAAGTGTGTCCGTGAAATCAGGTAATGGCTCCAACGGAGCTTTGAAAGGGACAATTTCGTGTTTCATTGAAGGGTCACTATCTTTCTGTACACATTTGCGCAAAACCTAAAATTGCTAACATAGTTTTGAATAGCTGTAGAAAATAATACTCCATAAATATTTCTAAATGCTCACTTACAGACTCATTTTACGTGAAAGAGTCAGCATATTTATTGTTAAAGAGTTCAAAATGTCAACAAAATATCTCGTCAAAACTACCAAAATGCAAATCATCGATTAGTTTTGACGAGATATTTTGTTGGCATTTTGTACTCTCTAATTTTAAATTCAGCACAAATCCTATTCCAAAATTATATCTGCGATATACTTGAACTTTGCCCTAGATACAAGTATTTTTGTTCAAGAGTTATTTCAAGACTGCTAGAGTAGAAACTATTTCATATTTATAAATGACTTGTGGAAAACAGTGAAAACAAAATTACTCTAGCAGAAATGGTAGGAGCTTTTTCTTGAAAAACCATAATACTTTCCGAGATTTGTACTGCTAATGGAATTACAACGGCCATCACGTTGTACGGTCCACGCAAGCGTGTTGCCAACTTTGTCAAAGCTTCTAAATAATCATAGTGCAGTTAAGCGTTGAACAATTATTTCATATTTCGGATTTTTGAATCAAAATTTATGTACAACAAATTTGCACAGAGTTTACTGTTAATCTAAACAATATTAGCAGAAATTCGAAGATACAGAAACAATAAACATCCTTAAATTTTGTGAGTAAATAAAGTTGATAAAAGCGAGTAATCAAATAATAGATACAAGTACAAATTGAAGGTCCATTTAACACGGGTCAAAGCAAAAAAATGTAATTGTGACAGTTTTCGTGTTTTTGAAAAATACAACTCAAAGCTGCTGACAAAGTGATAGCAATTGATATCTGGGTCGAAACTCAATTTTTGACTGTTTTCAGATTGACTGTAGTTGTTTTGGCATAAAATATTCATTAAATTCAATTCAAATTTGAAGTTATTAAGATAGAATTACTTATTTACCGCTAAATTTTTGTACAATTATTTAGTAATTGAAAGCATTAAATATGACCTTAAATATATATATTAATTACTGGTCTTTATAATGTGAGAAAGTAATGCATAGATCAAAATGGTAATTTTATAAGTGTATAAAATTTTTTCTGAACTATAACATAAATTATTGCGTTATGTGTTGATAAAATGACCTTTTTGATGACCTATTGGTAACAGAACAAGTTTTCAGTTAAATAATTCATCTTTTTTTCAAAATTAATTGCATCAAAAATTATTACCAATAAATTGATGCCAAGTTTTTTCAATCACAATGTAATCAGCGAAGCAGTTGTTCAGTACATTGTAGCAGTGAATTTGGCACGATTTCGCTAATTCATTAATTACATAAGTTCGCGCATTTCTAGGCAAACATTTTGCGCAATGCTTCATTTGTGTTGCTTTTAGCTGACATTCAACTGATGGTTCATACTGTAATGATTATTTTGTTTTTGATCTAAATCTCCAATTAATTTAGATCATAGATCAGTCTAGAATTATTTTTGCGCATCTCCAATGTGCTACAAAACACTGTATCCCTTACTTCCGCATTATTTAATGATCCAACAAAATTATATACTTGCACTAAGTTAAAAAATTTTAATAATAATTGACTTTTTGATGTACAACAACGATTTGGAATTGACATTGAAAGGAATATCAGGCTTAATCATCAAAAATAATCATAAACTTCGATAGCTAATAACCAAAAATTCGCATTATTAGAAAATTTAGTTTTTATATTTAAGTGAGCAAAAATTTTTGCAACTTTCAGGCTAGAAAATTACTTTAACTGTATAGATGTACTTTAGTGTATTTTTTATATTTATAAAGTAACTATCTTTTCATTGATTTTAAAAATCATACATTTAACTTAAAGAGATTATTACAGTATTTGATATTATTATTAATGAGTAAACACTTGCGCAGAATTAATTAACCTGTAAGATATTTTGTAGAATATCTGTTGATGACTTCAGAGCATCAGTTAAAGTTCTAGCAGCTCCCAAACTTCGTTCAAGTTGACGGACCATTTTTAGTGGAATATCTCCGAATGGTTGCAATGCAAATGAACTTCTCAAGCAATCGAAATTGTTTTCTTTTATTTCATCCTTTGAATATTTTTCGTCAATTTCTTTTAATTACTCCCAAAGTAATTCAAAAATTTAGTAAAATTCAAAAATTCTAAATTTTGAAAAATTTTGAATTTTTGAATTTCACTTCAACTTCACTCATTTCTCAAGTAATCAACCAAACTCTTCTTAAAACCACCAAAAACTGTTTGAAAATGCAGAAATGAAGCCTTAATTTTAGAAAGCAAATTTTCTAACCGTTGGATTCAAAATAAGTAAGAGAGTGCGAAAAAGATCGAAAAAGAATCGATCTAAAATAGGTTTCAGAGACATAAATTTGGTGTCCGAATAAAATTCTTGCAGATCAGCAAACAAATTGTTGAAAATCTAAAATCTGAAATGATGTCATCTAATTTTTTACAAAGTTTTATCAGAATTTATTTTTTAAATACATTTTTACAATTAAAAACTCATTTCTATCAAATTTCTGAAATTTATCTAAAACAAAAAAGAGTATTAAATTCGAAAAATTGGAGGAACAAAAAATAATCCTGGAACTCTGATTAACGATTACAAAGAATACATAACAAATTTCCTAAGTTATTTTCCAAATAATCTTTAATTTTTTCAATTATAAGTTATTTTTGATAGTAAAGTGTTAATTTCTATAAATTTATTTTTTCATTAATTAGATCACATCTATATTCTAAATTACATTGTAGAAATAAAATTTCCACCTGTGTATGTGACTGATAAAATGGTCCATAAGTTCGAATAAACATTGCATGTAATTGTTTGCTTGATGTTTCAATTACTTGTCGGTATTGGTCTTAAAATAATAAATAATAATTGAAATAATAAGGTCAGATATTAAAAAATTTATAGAATTAAAAATTACTCAAAAATTATATATATATTTTTATTACTGAATTAAGTTGGTACAAAGTTAATTCAGTGATTAATTGTTGAAAAACGAATTCAAAATTAAAATTATCTGCAGAATTTATAATAAAAGATTAGAGAGTACGAGTGACAAATATTGACAGCGATAGTGATAATAATAGTAATTAAAAAAATAGTAATTAATAATTAGTAATAATAATAACGTTAATAGTGATAATAGTAATATTGGTTACTGTTAGATATAAGCAGCAGTAAAACATACTATCAAAAAGTTGGTACTGATGACTGAATAACTGCTTGAGTACGACGATTCTGTCCTGATATACGATGGCTAGCTCTTGTTTTATCGTATTTAGCATAATAGTTTCGATTTCTTGAGTACAACAGCTTCCCTCAGTGCTCGAGATTTCTCGACAAATCGATAAATTCCCCCCTGATTAGATTTTACATATCTCGTAGAGACTATTTTTTATGCACAAATTTTATTGCTCTCTATGAAATAGCAAAAACAAACTCGATAAAATTGAAAAATTTGAATAAAAAGTATTTTGTGATATTTTACTGTAAGTTGTTATTAAACTGAGCATAAAGCTAAAGTCAATACTTAAGTATCAAATCATGATTATTTATGATAGCGAAAAAAATAAAATTGTAAATGAACTCATGATGGAGAAAAATAAATCGTATTATTCCATTCCATTTATTAATTTCAAATATTCTAACTCTTCTCTTCCTCATTTGCAGTTTAGTTTTTCATCAAATTTTACTAGCTTAAAACTTTGAAATTATTGTATTTTCTAGTGTATACGTTGTAAAATGTAGTGATTTATTATTGGTTGTAAAAGTTAAGTTATCTCACTACTGACCATTATCTGTTGCCTTACAGCAGATTATTATCTTTTTACTACCGCAATATGCAAATTTTTATATTTTTTTTGAATAAAAAAGAGGAGCCGAAAAAAATGCCATATGCAGATATTTAATTCTTTAAAACAAAAAAATAAAAAATAAAAAGATTGCTATAGTTAAGAAGCACTTTTCGCTATAATTATTATATCTCGCAGATGTAATTATTACCTTATGCCTTGATGCTGTTACTACAAAAATAAGATAAATCTGATTGCATCTGATAACAGATTAATTATCATTCATAATAAATGCAATGATAAATTGGTAATTCGTTCATATCCGAGCTTTTCTCTTATGCAAGTAAAGCAGAAGCAATTACCATAAACAGGCTTGTCCGGAATATTTACTTGTTGAAGAAATTCTGTTCCCAACAAATGACTACACATCGACTGCACTGTCGGAGGTATAAGTAATACTGTCAGCGCTAGTACGATTACTGACTGCATTTTGCTCGTCTGTAATATAAGTCATGAATATATGCATGCATACATTAGTAATACTTTACTTTGAAAGTATTTAAAAAAGTACTCTTTGGAAAAAAGTAATAAATAAACGCATTTTTTATTTTCGAAAAAAAAAGCAATAAATACTATTTAATTTAATGACAAAGAAAAAGGATAGAATTAGGAAGAAAAGTAATAGAATACACTTATCTCAAAACAAATCAAACAAATTGAACATAAAACTAATAAAAGTTTAAAAATTTAATTCGTTTATTTTTCTTCTTTTTTTTTGCAAAATAAAAAGTAAGTAAGTAATTAAGTAACTAAGTAAGTATATAAGTAAGTGAGTGAGAGTGAGAGTGAGAGTGAGAGTGAGAGTGAGAGGAAGAGTGAGAGTGAGAGGGAGAGTGAGAGTGAGAGTGAACGGAAGAAATGAATATTGATAAAGATTAATTAAGTAAATAGATGCTACTGCTACCTGTTTTTTCATATTTTTTAGTAGCAGCTAGTCACGCCCAAAATAATCTTTTTTGCAATACAAAAAGTTATGTAAGCGATAGATGGATTGACAGATAATGAGTAAGGATAGATTGAATGGATCGAACGAATGGACGGATTTGATAGACGGATAGATAGATAGATAGATAGATAGATAGATAGATTGATGTACTAATTTTGAACAATTAGAGTAATATATACAAATTAACAGATAGAATGGACATTGCTACGAATTAAGTAACTTATGAACTAACTTGCTAATTAAATTGATACTGCTATTACTATTACTATTACTTTTTTCATTTATTGTCTTACCATTTGCTATAACAGATATTTACATCATTTTTATTTACTGACCTTTGACCTTACAATTTTCTTGACTGTAATGTAATTTGGTAAAATAATAAAGTGAATCAATTGCATTCGTTCAACGATACACCAATTAAGACTGCAGACAAAAACAGCCGCCGCTTCTTTCATCTCACCGCTAATTAAGAATTATTAAATTAAGAAGGAAAAGATTGTATGTGACTTTAGTTAATTGTGACAAGTTTCGTGGGAAAATGAATGAACACTAATTGCACAGCTTTACTTTTGCTTTTCCTTTTCTTATTATTATTGCTAACAAACTAAATTTTCAATTTATAATTAAAATTAATAATCTTTTCTTTCAAATAATTTGCATTGATTTACATCAAAACTTATTGCAGCTTTCACTGTTCATTTGCTTCTTCCCATCGCTTCCTCTTTGCCTCAGCAGTTATTAATATTAATTAGTCTGCTTTGCTATGCTATCACATTATTCAATACCATTTATAGTAGTAAATTACTCAGCAAAATATCAGCAACATTAAACTAACAACTCAAATAAATGATAGCATATTTTGTTAGCAAAAACATAACACACTAAAAGAATTGTCATCGCCTATCAAATGATCGGAATCGATTTTTGTGCAGTTTAAAAAAAATCAGCAATAATGATAGTGTGTACAGTTTGTTTACTATACTAAAACTAGGAGCAGTAAACTTGGAATGAACTCAGACATACAGTAAATATAATAATTTGAATGATAATTAATTAATCATTAAAAAAAAATTATGATAATTATTTTAAATTCAAAAAAGTAATTAGTGTTCTTGTGATATTGTATACTGTTTCTTACTGAAAAGACAATGCTGTATTTTTTATAATTTATTATTAATTTATTATTATATTTTATTTATTATTATTGTTTTTTTTATCATGCTGAAATTTGCCTCTAAATTATTACTTCTGATAATTTCTAAATTTTCGTGAAAGTCAACTTATTACTTTTTTAATAACTTCGTTGTTACATCGAAATCACCTTCTATCTGCTTTTGCATGGAGTTTACTTCCGTTTACTTTCGCGTGAAGTCAATTTTCCTGTGTTTTAGTGTAAATTCAGCTCTGTTTTGTTTTCAATAAAATTTTACTCTATTAGCCAAATTTTTTTAACTTTGCAATGAACTTCATTCTGAAGTATTATTTTTTTTAGAAGTTAACTCTCTCACGTACGTAATTGTGTTTATTAACATGTCATGAATTAGTTTTATTCAACAACAATTTAACATTCCTTTTGTAAACTATAGCATGTAAGAAATTTGCTCATTCTTAATTTGAAATAAATTCAAATTTGAAGTTTAAAAATGTGAGACAAATCCATTTGAGAAAAGGATCCTTACAAAATATTCATTTATTCATTTCTGAATATCCTTTTCATCACAGTCATCCATCCTTCAACTCAACTGAAGATAGATAGATAAATAGATAGATAGATAGATAGATGGATTGATTGATTGATTGATTGATTGATAAATCAGTACTGGAGCAGAACAATTTTGCACAGATCATCGTACTGCTTTTTTAACTTGCGCAGTTCTGTCTTTAACAAAAAATTGCAATCTTACAGTGTAATTTGCGTTAAAAATGAACATTTGTAAAATTTTCCGTACACACTTTGTCTTTATATTGCGTGGCACTGAAAAAGAAAACACTTGCACGATTGATAACAACTTTTAATTCCATTCAACAATTACTGACTCACTCAGTCATTTATTCAGATCTTATCAACACTGTAAAATGCATGTATACATACATTTTGATTCATTTTATGCATTAACCTTTTATTTGACCTGTGTGAACTTTAAACTCAACACTCAAAATTTTTATTGTTTTAAACAAGACAAGATAAAATGAATTACAGCTTCAGTTATACAAAGAAGGCTGAACAATAAAACTTGGCGTAAATAAGTCAATTGTTAAAAAACAGATAAATATTAAGTGATATGAAACAGATAAATAGATAAATACTGTAACAAATCGATAAATAATGCCAAACTTTAATAATGCAAATTTTTAATTTATTCGTACAAAAAATTTGTGCAAAAAATTAACGCATAGATATTGGCAAGCAGCTTTTTCTTACTGAGTCTTTTTTCGTTTACTCATCTACAAACAAAGTATCAAACATATCATATAAGTAACAAGTGCTTACCCATTTCTTTACTTATTCTATAAAAATATATTAGCAAAATTAAGCAATTGAATATTGCTCTCTGAATTTATTTGACCCAAGATACTGTTAATAATTTGAATTTCCCGCTAAATATTTTTGCTTGTAATTCAAATGATTACGATTAGGAATTTTTTTAATTTTAATTCATGTCAAAAAAGTACCCCAAATTTTACCTAAAATAAGTTTTCTGTAAATTAGCTAAACGAATTTGATAAACTTACTGAAATCAAAATCCATTGTAGAAGAGCCTTTCGAAGTTGACCTCTGCCAACAATAGTACCAACTTTGGTCAAAACAGTAAGCGTTTTTGAGTCTAACATTTTGAATTTGACTTGATCTACTTGGAAATGTGTTGAGTTGTAGTCATCCTCAGGCATGAGCTCGATCATTTTTTTGATACTGTATAAAAGGTTCAGAATAATACTTCAAAACTAGCCCAAGTCAGAGAAAAAAAATTTTTTTTAAGTTTCAAAATCCTATGAACATCATAACTCAGCTGCAACAACTTACGATTAAAACTGCTAAGCACAATGACACGTTCTTTTTTGCCATATTTTGTAAACATGTACTTGTTTTCTTATGGCTTAAAATTTGCATATGCAAATTTTTTTCTAATTATTCCTCTGTGCTTGAACCAATTATTTCATAAGGTTTTCTTCGAATAATGCAATAAATTTATCTAATAATTCCATTTCAATTAGCTACAAATGTACCGGTCATTAAAGCCAATTCATATTAAAATGTCGGATATTTTTACAAGATCTGCAATATTTTCACAGTGGTCTCAATGAAGAGTAGTTGCAAGCGCCAATTCCCAAAGTATTTTAGAGAGCTGAACTTTCGAAGACGCTTGCTGTGTCTTGGCGATCTATGCTCTTAAGGTGTGGATTTGTATTTCTGGTAACACGGGAGCACGATATTCTTGATTCAACTGCAGAGAAGTTTCTTTGCACTAGTACTTTGGCAGTAGTAACTATATTGAAGCGTTTGTAATCATCGTCTTCGCTTTGCAACTGAGAACTTCTATTAAAGCTTAAAATGATTCACTTCTCATTATTTTTACTGTATTTCTGTGTAACATTTGACTTTTTGATCATAAAATAGTTCAAGAATGTCTTGCAAAGTGTATATATTCGGAACAATTTAACACAAACTACAAATCCTTAATCACAGACTTCTGAAAGAAATAAGCTATTGAAGACACGAGTTTTCTTTCTTCTTATTTAAAAAATCTTTCATTTTTTCATATTACTTAAAAGCTAACCATTTAAAATATTGAACTGAAAAAAAAGTGAGGTTTTAGTGATGCAACGATGCTTGTTTATCGTGGAGAGAAAGAATCGGCAGTGTCGAATGTTAGTAAAAAGTGGTCACAAGTACTGTGGAGAACATGCCATATATGATGATTTGAATGAAGTATTATTTCATTCACCAAATTCAATTTAAAACTTTTTCCAACTGAAAAATTTTTTTCCAAAATAAATTTATCGCTTACTTTATAATTTCTTGCTTTAAAATATGCATCATTTTTTTTCCACAGTCATAGTAAATCTGTAGTCAATTAATTCAAATTATACTTAGCAGTAATAAATTTAACTTAATGTAGTTGTCACAGACTTCAGGAGCGTGTTATTTGTCCGAAGGATCCGAAACATACAGTCAGAAAATCTCAACTACAAAAGCATTTGTCATTTCGGTGCAATAGCCGTCTTCCTAATGATCCTTGGATCGTCGAAAATTGCAATTTGAGGAGTCCGTATTTCATTCATCTTAATGTTGTTGCACAATATATTTCATTTTGAAAAAATTAGAAAATTTAAGATTTTTCAAATGAAGCTGAACTGCGGTGTCGCCCTACAAATAATGAATTACTGGAAATGAAAAATATTGTTGAAGATATATATGATCAAATAGCTAATTATATTAAGGATTCATTCTTAAAAAATGATTATGTGGAAAAGTGTGCTGCGTATTGTTCGAAATTAAAAGAAAAGCATATCCGGCAGGTATCATCTATAATAGGTATTTTTGTCTTTTGGATTGTAGTTTTTCAAGCTATGGAGTCTCACTGAAGGTTCTTAAATTTTTGTCGCCTTATTTTTTTGGAATGATGGTCTATCTTTTCAGAACACCTGTCAATATCGACTTTGCTACATAATGATAATCGCTGGTGTGTAATTGATTTTGGTGCTGGTAAAGCACAGCTTTCATATTGGATGGTCAGAATTGCTCCAAAATGTCGGTTTTTGCTGATTGACAAAATGGGTTCTAGAAATAAATTTGATAATAAAATTCACAAAGTGAACCTTTTATCTTTTCTACGTGATATATTGCTAATAATTCGTTTTCATAAAAACATCAAAATTGTTTCACTAAAAATTCATAAAAATGTTGAGTCTAATTTTGATTCTGATTGGCTGTTTCTAATGGGTGATGTCAGCGTTTTGTAAATTGAAGGGCTTAATTGCACGTTTACTTTTGTCACTTCGAAATTAACATCTTTTAGTGTCTTGAACAAGTAATCATTTTTTAGTGAAATTTCCTTATTTGTTTCAAATTGAGGAATTGGATGGAGTATCGATTGAACGTTTACGTTGTTCAGTAGAACATCTTGATTTAGCCAAAACTATAGTAATTCAGGTTAGTTATTAAATATGCACCCATTTATTGTACTCATGTGAATTACGTAAAGAATATTTGTTATTTATTAAAAATGAATAAAATTCTGAAATTTATGTTCTTCCAGTTTTTTAAAATTTATTTTAGCAGTATATTTATATGGGTAGAGATGCAGGACACTAGGCACATAATCTGTAAATGTTGAAGGAAGTGAGTAATATAGTAGCGGTTTGTAAGCATCTTTGTGGTGCTGCTACGGATTCTGGAATAGAGTGTTTGGTAAATGGAGTGAAAAATGGTTTGAATATAGAGGGTTTTGTTTTAGCACCGTGTTGTCATCACAAAACCACATTTAAAGAGGTAAAAGTTATCATTCATTTCTATACTTGGTTTAATTTTTAAAAATTTTATAGTTCTGTTCTATTTTCAGAATTTAAGTGATTATAATGAATTATTTAACCACTTCATACAAGAACATTTTAGGATGATAAGGGCTTTAATGGTTTCAGACTTTCCACCAAAACTTTGAAAGAAAAAGGCCCAAAAAATAATTTGATAGACTGAAACATAGTGATCGAAATATATAGAGTTTAATGTTGAGTATAAAATTTTTTTAGTATATTGGTCATTCTTTTCTGCAATCGTGTGGTATTCGTAGCTCTAAAGAATTTGCAACTTTACGTCACATGTCGACATGGGCCGTTTGCGGTTTTCCTCAGGCAATTTTTGTCTGTTACAGTAGTATTGTGATTTTTGATCATTTATTCCTAAGAATATTTTTCTTAAATCTCCAATGATTGATTTCATTGGTTTAATCTTCCAGAAAAATGTTGGTATTCATGTGCTCCCCACAACTCAGTTGCTGGAATCGAATAAATTTCCTCAACATGATATTCTTCCATTCAGTTCAACGGAAAAGGAACTTCTTGGTCAGAAAGCTAAATCAGTTTTGGAATTTGGTCGAGTTGTTGAACTCCAAAAATATGGCTATGACGTGTCTTTACATCGATACATAGACAGCAATATTTCGCCTGAAAATTTATTGATTGTTGGCCGTAAATCTGAAATATACATGTTATGAATAATTCTTGACGATAATTTTCTCAACAATTATCCAAGTTTTGGTTCTGAATATTTGGATTGAAATTATTACTTTTTTGTCACAATGAAGTTATTTTGTTGTTAATCAAACATTTGCTACAGAGATGAATTTCGCTATTTTTTCTGCATTTATATTTACATTAATAATTTTTTATTGGAATGGAGTGAAATTCACAATATATATTTTCTGAAAATTCATTAGTGCTCTATGAGTAATTTTTTCCTTTAGACTGCCATCTTTTAATAATATCTCTTAATAATTATTACATTGTTACGTTTCTTTTAAGCAATAAAGGTATCACTTTTGCGGCATATTTTCGTTCCAAAATTTTTGGTTATCTGTTCTTGGGAGATTCCTTTCCATATTTTTTAATAATAGTAGATATTGCTTCAAACAGTACGAGTTCAGTTGTATATGAAGAATTCGAATGTTTGGTCTCAAACTTCGTATATTTTTAGTCATAACGTAATTAATGTTCAACCTATATTGTTTTAAATGATTAATTGCAGCTACTTCATTTGAGAAGCAATCTGGATCTTCTCCGAGGTTAGTTCTATTCTCTCTCAGTATAGAACTGTCATTGATTTATCGTCTTAACATTTATTGGTGTGAAAACGAGAAGTCATATTTTGTGTTGATGTTTCTTTATATTTTCTATGATTTGAGGTTCTGGTTTAAACTCGGTTTCCGGCCCTGAAACATCGGAGGAACAAAAGAAGCGGTTCGAAATCGAGTGTGAATTTGTTCAGGCATTAGCTAATCCCCATTACTTAAATTGTTAGCTTTTTCTAAGATCCGGAACGAAGTTTTTAACTTCTGTCAAAGTCAATTTTTTTCAGGCAGCTAGCTATTGAATATAAACTCACTTCAATTTAATTATTATTTTAGTTTTGGCACAGCGAGGGTATTTTAAAGAAACATATTTCATCAACTATTTGAAATATCTTCTATACTGGAAAAGACCCGAATATGCAAAGTTAGCATGCTTTCTGTACACTGTATGCAATGTTATGTCATATATTTAAATAAATCTGATTTGTATTAATTTTTTTGTTTTGCAGAGCTTTAAAATATCCGCAGTGTTTACATTTCTTAGAAGCAGTGCAAAGTGCGGAATTTCGTGAAGCGATTACTTGTACGGCAAATGCAAAATTTATCGAGGAACAACAGTTGTTACAGTGGCAGTATTATACTCGAAAACGACAGCGATTGCATGTAAATTCATGACTTTTTATACTGCTCATAGAGTTTTTCTCATGCATCCTGACTTTCATCTCTGAAAATCTCAAAATTCTGTGCCATCTTTATCCATTACTTTTGTATTTGCTTGTAGATGTATACAACAGAACGTGAAGATGATGAAGAGTGGAAGCAGCAACAGCAAAAAGTTCCAACTACATCTTCCTGAATGTTTTATCTCGTCATTTTTGATACTAATAATCTTCTCTAACTTATTTTTCATCAATGCTGAGCTTACGCTTGATCTCCCTAGCAAGTGTGAATCATGTGCATTATTTGCGAGAGAATTTGAAGAACATTTAGCTAGTGCTAAAAAAGTTAAGGTGAGTTTAATGACGATATTTTATGAACAATATTGTGCAGTACTTGATTTTTTAAAGTTAGAGAGGAGATTCTGGTGCTTGAATATAATATAATGATAACTTTACTTTGTCTCATTTATTGACGCAGCTGTTGTATGATATATATTCAGTACATAGTCTTTCTGATAGTTATACTTCAAGAATGCTGTTATCAACCATTTGAAAGCATGGTTATAACATCATATGTATGTATGTATATTGATTTCAAAACAAATTTTTTTATCATTGAATAAAAACTGGTGTAAAAAGTGAGTTTTTCATTATTTATGATCTTTTTAAAATTTGTAGATTTCGGTGGTGGAAAAAGAAGTAGAATTTGTAGAAGCTTTAGAAACAATTTGTGATCGAATGTTACTATACAAATTACATAAAGAAAAAATGGGTATTTCACGATTTGCGAAAGAAGAAAGTAGCACAATGAAAGCTATAAATGAACTTCGTGATAGAGGGGTTAAGGTATGTTCAGTTCTATCTGTCCAATTTTACCAAATGTGTTCTCGGAAATTGCTTCAGAAGCAGTACCAGTATTTTGCTTTTGAACACAATTTTTGCCATGTTCAGAGTTTTAAGAATAATTTTTGTCAGCATTATTCACAGAGGCATAGTGTAGCAAAAATATGTGAAAGTACAATGCCGAACTACATACTCAGGACTACATATGAAATCAAACTCCATAAAAATTAAAGAATTTCATAAATCAAAATATAATCAATAAGGAGCACAAAAACAAGTTGAATAAAAGGTTCTTCCAATATTTCACTAAGATCCCAGCAAATATCACACTTTAATGTGCTTTTTGAAAATATAATTATAAATTTCATAGTTTCTGGTAACTTAATTCATCAATACTTAAAAAGATGCTTGAGTTGGATATTTGTATTGTAGTGTGCAAGCGATTCCATGTTTCTATTACACTGGTGTAAGACACTGCATCTTAAATTTTTTTTCTAGTATTTAGTTGCATGTTTATTCACAGGTAGAACTAGGTATGCCTTACGAGATGTGGAATACTCCATCTGTTGAAATCGTAACTTTAAAACAAAACTGTGAAACGTTGCGAGAACAGTACGAAGATGTTATCGAAGAATGGTATCGCAACGTAGATAGGCCACTGCTTGAGGTAATACTCTTAGTTTGATAGTCAAAATAATTGCAAAACGAGCTCTGAGTCTTTTATTGATATTGTCTTAACACGATAACAACTCATAAATGTTGTAGGACTTCACTGAAAGCTCCACATTCATTCATATTTTTTATCCTTTTTAGGAATATCTTTGCAAGGAAAGAGTACTAAATGAGACAGAAAATGGTTGTCTTGGAAAATAATTGTCGGCGACAGTTCTTTGGTGATTTTGTCAAAAATATTGTTGCCTTGAGTGATATGAGTTTAATGTCGAATAAATTAAATACAATGCGAGGAAATTAGTCTTCTAGTTCAAATAGTTTCTTGGATTTCTTCTCATTATCCTAGTTGCTGCACTTGCAGTGACTGTTTGGCGTGTATACTTTTTCATGTACATTTTAAAATTGACTGTCAGAAATGTTACTATTTACGTATTTATATTTCACTACTCTTATGTTTAGTGCCGTTTGAATGCAAATTATTATTTATTTTCGTTTCCTGGATCTATTTTAAACATAAGTAATTGAAGATATTGTAAGTGTTAAGATGATTGCCTGCTTTTCATGAGACAACACATAGATCGTAAATACAAGTTGGAGCTGGTCAACGTAAACTCACAATAAACTGGAATAAACTGTACACAAAATAACTGTTGTCAAGTCAATATGAAATCTCGTATATGTTTCCTGTTTAATCAGTTGAATAGTGATGATTGATGTTTAATTAAGATCGGATCTAAGTAGTATGTCATTTTACTTTTGGTTATTATCGAAAGATTTGGGATAGCAATGAATGTGTAGTGAATTGTTATCTAAATGTTTATCAACTACTTTCATTTCAGTTTGATCATAAGACCGATCATGTCCGACGTTTTCTTGTAATTAGAGGTTGTAAAGTAATGTAATGCATTTTGTAAAAAGTTTAAATCTAGAAAATCTAAGTAAGTGAAAAGTTGTTGAGGTATACATAAAGAGCATTTGACTCATTTATCCATTGAGCTGATTTATATGATTTGGTAAGAGGCCAACTGTCGCAAGACCTGTTGGTCCAAGTAAAGCTGCGTAATGCTTCCACATTGTATCAACGGTATTTGATAACCTATAATTAATGATATTCTTCGTCTTAACAAACACATACAATTCAAGTTACAAATTCAAATCCAAAGATGCTTTATTTATTTATTCTCTGAAGCTAATATTTTCATCTCTTAAATCAGAGCAAATTTTTTCAATTGGAAATTGAAATGTAAAGTTAGAAGTATTCATGGAAGCATTATCTTTATCTTTTTAATTTGTACATTAAGTGAGAATATTTACATAATTGTTGAGAATTATGATAGATTTTGTAGAACTAAGACGTGATCTAGTGATACTTGTGAGTGATTAATTGGTTTATTTTAGTGGAATTACTAGAGAAATAGACTTAAATGAATCGTAAATTAGTGTCGAAATGGATTCATAAAAGTAAACTGTAAAAATTGAGATTTTTAGTTTTTATAAGATCATTAAAAAAGTGTAATTACCGATTAGGACGTCCTTCTCGAAGTGTCCAATTTCGAACTTTTGCATTATTTTTCAAATGACTTAATAATAATTTGGCTTTGGTTAGTTGATTTTCATCGCTTAGTTGATCCCATTTAAAATAAGACATTGTTGCTTCTACTACCAATCGTATCTGCGATTATTGTAATAATTATATTGTTATTTCTTGCTATGATTTATTTTATGATTACTCATTTGTATAGACAGAATGTGTCAATTCAGTTCTTTCAGTTACTAGCATTTAACATTCATTATGTTTGCATCATTTATATTATTTGTTGAATAGAAAGTTAAACTGTAGAAGGCAAAACGCAAAGTGATTATTATTTGAGTATTACATTTTTTTTTGTTTGAAAAAATAAATTTAGAAAAGATAACACAACAATGTATGACAGAAGCAAATATGAACAAGTTTTTTGCTACAAAACTTGTTGAAAAAGAATTGGTTGAAGTAAAAAGTAATACGTGAAAATCAAATGGTTTATCTAATAATTATTTATATGCAAAATGATTCAGCAGTGGGGTTTTTATCATTGATTACTGCAAAAAACAAACTTGAGGACTGAATAGAGCGACAGAATTTATGTATTTTGGATTCTGAAACAGAATGCTTACTTTTGAAGGTAACTTTGCATCATTTCTTAATATTTTCTTCGTTTTTGATTACAAGTTTGTTTGTTTTTTTACTTCGTTTTTATTTTTATTGCTATTGCTCAAATTTGGTAAAAGTTTAACCTTCGGTAACTGGCGTGATAAGAGATGTTGAGCAGTTTCGCCATGAAATGTTCTCAAAGATATGTGCACATTACGAAGTTCTTGATCAGTAACAGATTCTCGTAGTATTTGCCATGCAAAAACCTATAATTTTATAGATGTACTATTGATAGTGAGACATACAATAAGAGCAGTAATTATAGTAGTTATTATTAATATAATAATAATTACTAATATTAATATTGTTGGCATTTAGTGAAATATTTATTACTAAAAGATATATATTTATTGAGATACTTTATTACCTCCACTCTCTCTCTTAGTGTTTATCCAGCTGAAAATATATTCCATTTTAGGTTAATCTCATTTGAGTCATGTCAGATTATATTCTCTTCCAACTTAACAATTTGTTACAAAGTTTGAAATGTGTTGAAGTTTAAAATGTGACTGCAAATTAATATTAAAGATTGAAAAAATATTATTACAGTCTCTAAATTCTTGTAATTATATATTTGATATTAAGCAATAATATAGTACAAACCAGAATAAAAATTTTTCGATATCTATATACTAAATTTAAACTTAAAAATAGAATATGACTGCAGAAGATCGAAAAATAAAATAAATAAAAATTACAAAAAGTTATGATCTTTTTTACTGAAACGAATTTTCAACAATTTTAAGAATATTTGTTTTCTAGAATCTGTGAACAAACAGATTAAATTACCGTCATGAAGTTCCATGAGCGTGAATTAGCAAGTGAAATTCACTTAAAACTTAACTTCTCTGTTATAATGTAAATGAAAATATCAAACAACTGAACAGCGTATTTTGTAGACTATTACAAATTTTAATAGTATTATAAAAATATAGTTCATATGGGAGCTTTTCAAAAGTTTACACTGATAATCTGTACAATAAATCTGTAAGGAAAAAGTAAGAGTTCAAATTATTATAGTGAAAGAATGATTGAAATAGAAAATACTGCATAAGATAAAAGCAGATATACCCAAAAGGATGGAAGCTTACTCTCCTTTATAATAAATTATATCAGTCCACACTATTTTAATACACAGTAATTGTAATTGTGTTTCATATCAATCTTTACTTTTCAATTACATATCAGAAAAATATCAACTCTATAGTATGTTCAAATATTCATGAAGAGAAGGGTATTATTATTGTATTAGTATGAATATTATTAGTAATCATAGAAGGGCATAAGCATCAATAGAAAATTTTCACCTTAGGTTGTGTGCTTTGAAAACTTCTTGCTGCTTTCTCGGCCGCTCGTCGAACTGCACCTTCGGGAAAATTACTCTCAGTATGCAATATTTTCACGTCATGATTTGTTACACACGTCGTTGTTGCAGTAACCGTTGTTGTAGTTGTTGTAGCAGCAGCCATTGTTGTTGCAACATCCTATTGTACAGCATATTTGAAAATGTATAGAGAAGAAAATTTCTTCGAAAAATACCGATAATAAATGAGTAATAACAATCATAATAATAACAATAATAAGATAATAATAATAATAATAATAGTAATAATAATAATAATAATAATAACATAAAATAATAATAATAATAATAATAATAATAATAATAATAATAATAATCTTTATAGAGAAACTAGCTTTAAATAAGGAAAAAAGTGTATAATAATTGCATATAATTGTATTCCAATTTCGATTTTTCCAAAAATTAATAGTTAATAATCCTTATTTGTATCTCATACATTTTCAAAAGCAAGTGTCTTCTAAGTCAATGAAACAAACAGATATAATTATATATATATATATATAAATTATGAAGTAATATTACTACGAAATGTTATTAATACAATACAGTGTGCACAAACCCTCAGCCAAAACGTGAATTTAAAAGTAACCCTTAACCTCGTTATAATCTTTTAACTCATATTTATTTTAAAGTATTTTTTCGAGCAACTGTGTGATTAGTATAATATATCTGAATTATTTAGATTTTCGCTCTTATAATTATTGCATATAGTAAATAAAATATTTGGAAGTGTTTAAAAAAAGAAATTTTTCTGTCAAATAATTTATTGGTTTTTAATTAAAGTTTATTTCCTTACAAGCAGTGTTGCATAGATTTGAAAATGGTGAAAGTAAAAATGAATTGTTTTTACCTCGTCAAGTTCGTCATCGAAATCATCGACTAGTTCTTCGTCACCTTCACTATCATTTATAGCTAAGGAATCATCAGTGCTTGCTATTTTTGTCGTTACGTCTTGTAGTCCAGAAGACGTCTCCGGAACCATCCTATCATCATGTACGAGTAGCCTTTTATGCTTGTTATTTTCATCTGATCGAAAAGTAGTACAAGTAGTAACAGCATCAGATAACCTATCAGTTACTTTATGTTTAATAATTTCCGATGATTGTCGCTGCTCATCCAAATTAATATTTTTTCTATCATTCACGATTTCGCAGGATTTGAGCGATGGAAAGTGTAATGACGGGAGCTCAGCTTGCGATGGTTTGTCAGATAAACGATTTGTTAACAACTCCAATACAAAAGATAATTTCAAGTCAATATCATTCAGTCGTAGATTAATTCCATTTAGAATAGCTTTTGAATCGTTATCCATGAATAATTTTAACACTGACACCTTTAGATTTTTTTGATTTGGTATTGAATTTCCTGAATAATGTATGCACTTACAAACTACATATTTGTATTTACTTTTCAAAATTTTTCAAAACATTTCGCTGCTGTTTATCATTTCTATATATTCATATAAGTATACAAAATAACCCACTAATTAAAAATTATTATTGAAATATAAAATATGTAATTTTTATTAACGCTATCTGTTAAATTTTTTCATATTATCAAAAGTGGGTACCGAAATATACTTTAAACAATTTGATGTTTCCATACAATTTTCAAAATTATTCGATATAAACTATCTAATCAAAATTAAAGCAAAAATAAGATTGCATGCAAGATGGTTATTAAGTTTAAAAATTGAAAGAGTATTTGGTTGCAACAGCAGCGGATTTTTGTGTCAAGAAGAAAATCTTAAAAATCTGAGAAATGGGTAGGTTAAATGGATAGACAGACTGATGGATGGATGGATGGATGGATGGATGGATGGATGGATGGATGGATGGATGGATAGTTAAATATAAAATTTTGCCACTTATTTGTAAGTAAAAACTGGTCATACCAGCTGTGTCATATTCCACTTCAACTAATTTTACATATCAATTAAGCAATAATATTACTTTTGTATGTATTACTTCACTACTATATTAGTAACTTGACATTAATTCACTAAATTACTTATAGTTTTCATGAATAAATAAACAATAATTACAAATATTTTTGATTATTTTTTAAAAATAAATTTAAAATTTATATACACTCAACTATTCCTACTTCTATATAACAATCACTGCTACTCTTTAAGCTTATAAACTTTTCAAAGTATAACAAAACCAGCGGTCGACCGGTTTGTATAACTCAGAAATTGTCTGTTGCCTCACTGTCAGCAAACCATGTAGAACTGGTTTTGCACTGCGATATATTTCCAGAAGTACCTTGCCATCCCATCCATTGCTTCCCTCATTAGTTAGCCCAGTTAATACTCTCCAAAATAAACCAGAATTCACTACTTTTAACTTTTTCGCCTTTTCATAAACTTTTACATTTATTTCCTACAAATAACACTCAATAATAGTTGCTAATTTTAGCTTCAATGGTAACTTCTACTATTTTTGTGTGCCATTTTTATTATTAACATTATTATTACTATTATTATAACTATACCAATAATTGTTATTTATATTATTATTATTATTGTTTAATAGAAACTATAAGTCAAATTATTGTATTCAAATGTAATCGAGACAGTGAATGAAATTGATATGCACAAAGAGCAGTGTAATATAAGCGAAATGAATAAATAGAACTTATGGACGAAACTTTATACTGTATTATTATATAACTAGTACAAATCAAAAGTTGAAATTAGAAAAAAATTTTGTAGCTCGGAAATTTTTGCTTTTTTGACTTGGAAAATATTTAAAAAATTATAAATTTATCCATTACAGCAGAAGAAATGCCAATTAATTAAAAATTGTAATAGCAAAACTTTTTTTAGAACAAATTTTGCTCCCATTAAAATCCATCCATCAAAAATATCGAACATTTTTTGTGATAAAATATCAAATATTACTTTTGTCGAAAAACAAGCTAATAGTACAATTTGTTTCTATACTTGTATATACAAGCGCAGTTATATTTTTTGTTATTTTGTTTAATAATTACTTGTATCTGTTAGTAAACAGGTACAGTATTTTGACTAATCTGTTGCATATATGCAGATATAATAAGACTTTATTTTCAAGTCAATTCAATTTAAATCAGATCAAATCAGTTTAATTTATTCATCTTACAAGAATAAAAGGGCTGCAACTATGAAGTTATAATATATTTTTTTATAATTATAATTAAAGACTTGCAGAATGTCACTACGATAAAATCAAATAAAAGTGGGCAAAGAGTGAGGAGGTAATTGGTACACTCAAAATCAGTAAATGATCATTTCTAGTTGCATGCACCTTGCAGTTTCATGTTTTCCTTCCCAAACCCAAAGCAGTCTGTTATTTCTTTCCTCAAATGCACACACACACACACACATACACACACATACACATACACACACACACATACACACACATACACACACATACACATATATACCATTACATATATACATATAGAAATATAAATGGCAATTTTGAGTATTGTTATTATTTATTCCATCAAAATGCATACTTTTTAGCTTTTAATATGGACAAATGTAATACAGCATTGTTATTCATACTGATTACAGGTACAATTATGCACAAACTTGCTCTCACCCTCATAACAATAACAATAACAACAACAAGATTTTTGAATCGAAGACAATCCCAAAAACTTGCTAAATTACAGACTATCAAAGCAGCTTCGTGTTTACTTACCTCATGGCTGGCTGCAAACGCCACCTGACGTGAGAAGTTTGTTGTACGATGAATGAATTAATGTTGTTGATAAAGTTGCACATGGCACATGACTGAATTTGGCAAGAATTAATTTTTATAAAAATTATAAAATAAAGTAAAATTTGATTTTTATTTTATTACTTTCACATTTTAAATCCATTTACACGTAAAAATGTTAATAGAAACATTTCACGAATGAATGATAAGGTTGTAACATTAGTACTTTTGGAATATAGAAAAAAAACACCAAAAGCATTGTAAAGTATAAAACGGAAATACGTGGGAAACGTAATATAAAAATTGAATTATGCAAAATATGTAAAATTATTTTCAAATTACTGCAGTTTACGAATGCATGTATTTATGTAAGATATTTTAAAAATTGTTGTATGAATAAATTATAGTCATAAACAGCTCTAACGATTCAGTGAAGTAATGAATGCTTCTTTGAATTTACTTATATGAATGAATGAATAATTTCGTTTTACTTAAATGGAGAAAAAAGTATGCAAAATTGTATTTCTGATAATTGAAAATTTGAGAAAAAATCAAAAGTCACAAGAATCAGCAAATTTTTAACGTTTCACGCTGGTGACTCATTATTAATGTTAAAAATTTTTAACACATTTATAAACTTTTTGCAAAAAACAAATGAAATTACGCTTAGAGAGTTGAAAATAGCACTTAAAAAACTCTTATGAATAATAATTATTAATTTACTTATTTAATTTCTAACTTTTTGACCTATTTAATAATTCATTTTCCTTTTTTGCTTGAGAAATGTTTAATATTAATATTAATACTTAAAAAAAGTGCAGTGCCTAAATTTTATTCAATCTATAAGTTATTGAACTAATTAACTTATACTTTTATCAGATCGAGTTATATTAATATTAGTACTGGAGTAACGCTTGCTTGCACATGCTTACAAATGAATGATTCTAATTCATTCAAAAATACTTGAAGGAACAAAGAATGAAACAAGAAAAAATACCACTGGAATCTGTCACGTTTGTATATGTGTGCGCATGAGTGTGTGCATATACATGTGTGTATGTGTGTGTGTTGTTATTATAGTTCAAGTTTTTTTTGCGCAAAAAAAAGCTATTTTCATGTTTATGAATCAAACGAGTTTTACAAGCGTTAAAGCGAACTACATACAAAGTTTGACTGCTTTTAATTTGATGGAACACGAAAGAAATGAATGAATGAATGAATAAGTGAATGAATGATTGATTGATTGATTGAATGAATAATTGATTGAATAAATGGTTGATTGAATGAATGAATGAAAGAATGAATGAGTGAACAGTTGACTGTATTCAGCATTCAACCAACAAGACACAATATCAAATTTTGTTGCCTCATTTTATACAAATTTTTTTTTTGCAGTTTTTTTAGTCTATTTCTTTTTTAAACTTTATTTTTAACTGAAAAATAATATTTTTTCACTTTAGCGTTAAAAACACGTATGCTTTAAGCGTTAAAAAATGACTTTGCTGAAAAGTTATCAACAAAAATACTTATCATTGATAACGAAAAAAACTAAACTACAAGTTTCTACAATTATGAACAGAAAAAAAGTGTGTAATTAAATGTTGAAATTGTATTTTACTCAATCTATAAGTTATTTAATTAACTAATTTATACTTTAATTAGGTGATTATTAAAGAGATTACTGAATTTTTTGATTTAAATATTTTCATTTGAGATATGAGATCGCAAAATTTCATAGAGTAGTTGTCAGAGGAATATAAATTTTTTGTAGTATATTAAAAGTGATACCTCATTTTATATATTCCTTTGTATTTTACACTTTTCACACTTCTCTACTTGTACGTGTTTAGGAATGACTTGATTGTTGTACTGATAAGGTCACAAGGTCAATACTATCAATAGGTAATGATAATGACCTATTAACTTCCAAAAAAGAAGATAAATATAGGTCATTAGATTTTTTTAAAATTTTAAAATGGTAATACGTATAATGTCTAGTGAATATTCTTTCTTGCTTTTATAACTAAATGTTTAATGTGCTGCAATTAATCGAATACTTTTTGATTGAGTTAAAAAAATGTTGTTAAAAGGAGGAATACAGTAGTATTGTTAATGGTATTTGTCTATATTCAGAGATTTTTTTACTTTTACGAAAAATTATTGAAATGACAGTAATGATTTTCTCGTCAACTTTGAATAAAACAAAGATAGAAAGTGAAATTCGAATTCCAAAATAATGTAATTATTGCAAAAAAGAACCTTTCTCTCCGAAAAAATATATTTGTCAACATATATTATTAAGTTGCTGATTTCCAGATGATTCCAAGCATTGAAATTTCAGAATTGTGATGTGATATGTAGAAAAAAACTTATGTCTAACAAGAAACGGAATCGTTTAAATACTGAAGATGAAGAATTCGAGCCAGGAAGTTGGGAATGTACAGTGTGTACCTACCGAAATAGACATGAAGCTTTCAAATGCGAAATGTGTGATACAAGGTCAACTTAGAAATTCACAGTACTACTTTTATTGATAATGCTACTTTTTGTTTAATATAGTGACTGTACTGTATTCTATCTACATTTCTACTTTCTACAATTTAATAGGTATCAATTAGAAGAAAAAGATTGTTAAGTTTCTGTCTACCTGTTTGATATCCGACATTGAAATGCTTAAAATGATGCATTTTGTAGACTCATAATTGAAAAAAGATAGCAGTAGAATCACTTTTAAGATGACGAAATTTAGAAACTAGTAATTTTTCACCTTTTGTGAGTGAATGTTATCCATCAAAAAATGTTCGCTGTTTTAGGAAAGGGACATCAACAAGAAAGCCACGTTTAAATCAAAATGTTGTGCAGCATCATACAGTTGTGCAAAATTTTGTCGTTCAGCAAAGTCTTGCCGAAAAACCAAAGTATGCTCATTCTTCTTTCATTTCGGTTTATTTTGATGTCTTCAATATGATACAATAAAATTGTTATGTGGTACGATATAAATCTGATTGTATGCTGCTGCTGAATTCACTCAGAAAACGTTGAAATTTAGGTTTAGTATTAATGAGGAAAGAAGCAAACTTGCTCAATTCTTAGTTTATTTAAGAATTTTTTCAGAAGACGGGTGGGAAGGCCAACAGCAGATTCGCCAAGTACTTCCCGTCATTCTCCAGAAAGCACTTCATCTGGATCGGGTGTTACAAAATCTACTATTACTTCTAGAGTGAACAGCAAACGGGTAAGCTTTGATTGCTGTTCATTATTTTAGTGCAAGTTATTGTTCTTGTAAGATAGATTTCGACTAACTTCAATTTTTGGTTTTTTAGACTTTTATTTTAATGACAGTTTTGTAAAATGTTAAGATCTCTGTAGAAAAATTTACAGCTATTAGTGTATACCTCCTGTTTTATTTGAATTAAAATAACTATTTTGTTGTTTTTTCGCACTTTCTATATGTTATATTTCTAGGTGGTGTCATTGCGCGATTCTTTGATTATCAGATCTTCAGCTAAAAAGCATATTGTAACTGTAAAGGGTATTCCTGCCTGTATAATTGAATATAAAAGGCGTGAAGATGATAAAAAATTAAGATAGGACAATTTCTCCAAAATAAGGATCTCAGACAAAAAAATTAGCTACGTGAGGATAAATGATAGAGTTATATATCTGGAACATAATTTGATTTGTTTTGTTGACTCTGTGTAACTGTGAAGCTATGACATGTGATTGGCAGAATATTTTTGGTATCTGAGGGTCTATATTGGTTGCATATTTATCTTTAGATTCCTTACTGCTTTTCGAATATTTTTTGCGTAATACTTCGTAAACATCATTTTCGTTAGAAATTGGAGTTTTTGGAAGGGACGAAACATAAGTAGGAGTTTTCTTATTTTTATTTTTTGTTTATGTTTGTTTCCAAGTGTTTCAGTTTTAATAATATATTATAACTTTCTTGGCATTCAATATTTGCTTCATTTTTCCACATAAAATTCTACCTCCTTAATGTAGTCACCATGTGATTGTTAACACATTATTGCTTCTAATTCATCATGATTGCATACAGTGTATGGAATTATGTTTATTAAAAACTTTTTATTGACTTGTAAGTATTTTTTAGCTTTGAAATTACAGCAAGTGATTGTTTTATCTCTTCTCAACTAACATAAAACAGGTCGATGACGAATTGAAGCAAAGTCGTATTTATGAAAATATGTCGCGTATGTTTTGTGCAATTTTGTAGGGCGTTCAAAATAAAGGAACAACAAAATATATGTGATAATAAAGCTCATTTGCTTAATTAAGCTGAAGAATCCAAAAATTTTAAGTTGTCTGAATAATGTCTTCTTTTACTTTATGTTTCAAGTGACATTAAGTCCTGCATATTAGGAATTTGTAATTGTATATAACTATTTGAATTTTTGTTTGTGTTTTCATGTATTTTATCCATAAAACACTTCGTGAACGGAAGCAAAGTGGAATAAAATGGATTTGTACTAAGACGACTGTTATAAACCAAGATATCTATGATAACGCTTTGGTTTGCTGTCATAAATTTGAGTAACAGAGGATAGAACTGGACGTTTAGATTGAACATATTAGTGTTGAATTATGGGCGATTACTTAGATTGGGTGCATTATTGTTTATCTTCCCTTCAATTCATGGTTTTTGCTCTTTTTGTACTTCTGATTCCTTTTACTTATCATGCTGAAATCACTTCCTTCAAATTTAATTGCATCTGAAAAATGATTCTCGGTTGTTTGAGTAGAAATGTTCTTTAGTGCTTTTTATAGGTGAGGCTTTGGAGTAGAATAATCATTTTCAACAAGATCATCTTAAACCGAGATAAAGGTTGCTTATGGGAAGACGAAATTTATTGTTTGTCCCGGATTTTTTCCACAAGTTATGCATTTAATCAATGTTTATTACGACATAGAGGAGATAATTTTTATCGATTTTAATATTCAACTACTGGAGTTTGGCTTTCATTTCACTGATTTTATTTTTATTAAATATTAGTTCCAGTTTTTTTATTGATGAACTTTGACAATATATCGGTAAGAAGTCAACTACAAATCAGAGATGTGCACATTATTAGTGACCTGAAGATTATTGAGCCAAAAATCTTCCCTGATCGTAGAGGTTACTTTGTGGAATGTTACAATGAAAATGAATTTTCTTCTTTAGGATTTATAGAAAAATTCAAGCAGGTTGGCCGTTCATTTTATTGCTTTAAATTGTTTATAGTTCACATTTTGTCTAATTGTGCGAATTTTAGTGATTTTTTTAATAAAAATTTGTAGTAACGACAGTTTTTTTAAAATGTGTGCGAAATTGATCCATCTTTGATTACAATGGTCATACTAATTTTTTACAATCAAGGACAATCATTCATACTCGAAATATGGCGTCTTACGTGGGTTGCATGCGCAACCAGGAATGGGCAAATTGATATCTGTAATATGTGGTAAAATATACGATGTCGCTGTAGATATTAGACCGAAATCCAAAACATTCGGGAAATGGTATGGCATTCTGTTAAATGGAGAAACTCGGACAAATTTCTGGATACCTGATGGGTTTTTGCATGGATTTTACGTACGTCGTTTTTAAAATAGTGAAACTTTTACGTATGCAAAGTGCGTACATTCTCACTTTTAATTTTTAAAAACGTTTTTCTGATTTTTTAAGAGCCTTTTCCCCATAACCTGATTAATTCTAAATTATGCGCAACCAGTTTTAGCTGCGTTAAGTATCAAAACAGAGAGAGCTATGTATTGTAGATGTTATTTGGGTATTTTATTCAAAATTTTAATTTCAGGTTTTATCAGAAGAAGGAGCTCATGTCACATATAAATGTACATCAATATATAATCCGAAAACAGAATTCGGTGTGAATCCTTTTGATCCCGATTTAGCCATTGATTGGCCTATTGCTGACAGCAATGAATTGATTATAAGTGATCGAGATCAATCTCATCAAAATTTAAAATCATTATCATTAGAAAAGTGACAAATCTTCTTACTGCATTCTGTTAGTAATTTTTGTCAGATAATTTAGCATATCTATTTAAAGATCAACTCACTAGTTAAAGTTCATTTATTTTTTGGAAAAATTTTTTCAACTATATTTGTACATATTTATAGTCGGATACTTGCCTTTTTCCGTACAGTGTTTTTAAAAATAAGTTAACAAATTAAAAATTATCTCAAAATATTTTTCTGACAAATTTTTTCTGGCTCTATAGATCATTTTATTTATTCTCGATGCTGCAACATGTTTGGATACTGTTTAATATTATGCACAAAGTTTTCTGAGAAGTATTACATGTCAGTTTTCTTGTCACTTAAGTTGACTTTTGATACAGCGAAGTTAAATTAGCATTATACGAATTTTCAAAATTTTCTTACCTTATTTGTTAAATAAGCTTTTTGGCTTTTACTTTTTAGTGATTTATGTGTAAGTGAAGTTGTAAGAAATTTCGAGAGATGAAAATCTATCTGATAAGTAGGGAATATTTTATTTAGAAACGTATAATCAACCGAACTGATTTCATGTAACTACTTTTTATCCTTTTTCTTGAGTTGATGAAGACATCGAGCTGTCTTTTAAAGCAGCAGCTGCTCTGCGAGCTACAGATGTGTTTAATTTGAGTAATCGGATTCGTTGTTCTCGAATATCTCGTATTGATGTTTTTGAATCGAATAATGAATAATCAGATGACATACCTGAAAATATTGTTATTGTCGGTAATTCGTCTTCTTAACTTTGACCCATTGTTTTAGTCTTAATTTCACACATTCTTGATAATAGATATGTATCTGGTTGTCATTATCTATACGAAATTGATCGTACTTTTACTTTAGTTTATCAGCAGTAACAAATAAGTAAAATCAGTGATAAATAAGTTGAATCCAAGTTTTGATATGACTTTTTAAAAATTTTTCATTAAAAACTTTTTTTTGGTAGAAAATGTAGCGAACTTCGGAGAGCAACTTTATCCAGTGGATGGTCAATCTCCTCTCCTTCTAGTATCAAACCACGTTTTTCCTCTACAATTATATAATGAAGCAAATAGAAATAAAGTTTTAATTATATAATTCTGTGCTAGATTCTCCAATATTAATGATCATAATTGGATGGTCTTCATTACTAATGGTCAGGATTGAGTGAATGATTGTTATGTTTATTATCTGTAATTTTGTATTGTTAATAAATCTGCAAACTATATTGTTACTGAAGAAAAACGGCTTACTTGGAATTTCAAATGATTCAACAGCAAGTGTATTTTCCACTGAATATGCGTATGATGAATCAACAGTACTCAGATCGTCAATAATTGGGTAATCTCTTGGTCTTAAACACAGATGAGTTAATTACTTTACTGCACAAAATTTTATGGTGAAGAATGGTTCTTAAATGGGCTTAAATCTTGTTATGCTTATTTTTGTACCAAATACTAGAAATCATAAATGCTTTTACCTAATAGTACCTAACTTTTTTATAGCAAATTGTAATAATTCTAAACTCGGAAATGGTATGAACATTTTGTAATCTTTACCGTAAAGGTATAATTAATGATGATCTTAAATGATTAGTTCCATTCATGCTAGTGTTAATAATTTTTTATAGTAAATGCTTGAGTGCCTTCCGTCGTTATTTGTTTCCTTAAGAATGAAATGAATTAGTTTGATCATACCGTCGATCTCTGTATTTTTTTGGTTTCTTGAGGCTTGTATCAATAAAATTATTGCCATTCTTTGCTTTCGTCCATAAAGTTGTTGCAGTATCATGCAGTGCTTCATTGGAATCTATTTTGTCTAGATATGGTATATTGATCATATTTATTGCCTAGAATCTGACCATAATAATAGTTAACTGCCATGGTGTAACAAAAGTAACTTACTAGCTGCTTGCATTATTTGTTTAATAAAAGTACTTAATTAACTTTCTATTGCAAATTTAAATTTATTGTCGTGAAAGAAATGAGCCATTTCAGTATAGATCGGTTACTTGATATACTGTAGTTGTGGTCTGATTTTCGCTCAACGGATAATGAAAGAATTTGACATATAAGCTTTTGTAAATAACAAGTTATTTACAAAGATATGTCTTGGATATAGAATTTTAAGCAAATTGTGTGGACAACCTTATTTTGATGTTTTGCCTCGTTTGTTTTTACTGCACTTTTCACGTCTCGCTGCAAATATTTTTGTTACATCTCTTTTTTTTTTTACTTTATCAAAAATTTACATCATTAGCAACTTTTTCTTACAGTGATAATTTGAATAATATTCCAAGTATGCAAATTTCTGCAAATAATACAAATTACTTCTTCTTGCTTGAAGCACTTCAAACTATTAGATTCAGCAGATGGTCCTTTCTTGGAGAATACAGTTTTTTTTGTCTTTTTTTTGTACTGACAGAAGATGATAATTTGTACAGCTGGTAGAGCCACAACCATTGTTTCAATTAAAAATGTGACCGAGAAAGCATGAGCATCCACAATATCTCTCATTACTACTTTGCCAAAATATAAATGATTACAAGCAATGGATCAGCACTTTTTTATACACATGCTTTATTACATATGCAAATCAGTCGACTATAATAGCATTTACTTTTATCATTATTATATTTTTCCATATTTTTATGCAACATTTGAATGATACATTTGATCACGTTGCTATATTTATTATTTTGTTTTATGCGCAATTAGCTGCAAAGTTTTCATCAGTCCAGTAAAACCGTATTTTCAGTTTTTTTTCTTTTGACATATGAAAATTTTACAATTACTTAATAACTGTGATCATTCATTTTTGCTAGTAACCAAGCTAAAAACTAACATTAGACCTTTTGTTTAGTCTAATTTTAAGGAGCGAACAGATATCGCGTAAGTAATAATTAAACAACCCTTAACCATGTAATTATCAGTTATTGATAACAATTGCAGCTGTCGTACCAGTAAAGTTTAAAAGTGTTATTTCAATACTGCGACAATTTTAAAGTGCTATGTAATCTATTTTTGAGCACATTCAAATTTCTAGAGTTCCTTTTAGTTGACCTTTGGTTTAGCCTTATAAATAAAGCAACGCTACATTACTATTATGTAAATAAGAGACGCTATTTCATACGTGTAACCGTAATAGTAATTTACTTATAATGAATTTTAATAAAGTAAATTACTATTACGGTTACACTTATGAAATAGCGTCTCCTATTTACATAATATTAACGTAACGTTGCTTTTTTTTAAATAATAGTAATAACAAAGAAAAAAATGTGGAGGTTAGTTTTAATTTTCGCTTTACTGGTTCTGGCGCTGGATCGCATTCCGGCACTCTGGCAGTACTTGTCCCGCGCTCGGATTTGTCGTACTCATTGTTTTCACTTCGTTCTCGTGGAATCCATGTCGTTTATCGAAGGAGATGCTTTTGAGCGTCTTCTTGAGAACTAGAAGTAATCAAACACATGATCTACTTTGCGTAGCGTTTGTGGAGGTTCGTTACAATTCCATCCCAAGTCATCACATCCGGAATTATTTTGGTCCTGTATTTCATGGCTTAAGTTTATTAGCCAGTAAATCATACTTTAGTTTTTTTTTATTGGTCTCGACTGCTGTCAACCTGTCCTGATTAGTGTTGCCAACCTCTACCAAGAGTACTTCACGTTGATTCTTATCGTAGATCATGGTATCTGATCGATTTTAATGACATTCAAACGACTGAAACCACAACTTTTATCAGTTCAGATAAACTAGCACTTTAAATTAATAAAGTATTTTCTACTTCTTGATACTGTATCATAGTTAGTATTGTAATAACGAATTCATATCTACTTAAATCAATTACATTTCTGTACAGTTGTTCCTCTTTCGAAGTAAAATCTATGCTTTTGAATGGACCAAATTTCACTGAGAAAAATTGTAGAATATCACTGAAATAGATAGATAAAACTATTCCAAAAATAGCAAATTTTTTTGAAAGATATATGAATTATTTAAAAATTAACAGTTATTAAAGGATGTAAAAAGGATAGAAAATTCGAAAATGCTTAAAAAATTCATAATAACAGTAGTTGGATCTGAAAAAAGAGAAAAGGCAGCTACTTGAATTATTCTATTTGAATAAGAAAATAAATGAGTTGCATGCCTTCTCACATTTTTGTCTATTTTTTTTGCATGGAGGAAATATCTGCATCAGGAGTTTCTATCAGATATCTCAATGGGGATGATCAAATAATCCGATGAAGTGATTTCTTTTCTAAGACAATCTAGTGTTTTTTGTTTGTTTAATCCTTTTTTAATTGACGAATTCTCAATTTGTGAAATAATCAAATTTCACGAATAGAAAATATGAAAACTAACTTCAAAAAATTTTTTCCAATTTGAAAAAATAAGTGTGAACTGATGTGCATAATGCCAATGCTCGCATTGTAATTATTCATCAAAAATATATAAAAAAGAATTGTTGTCAAGTAAACTAATATCAAGTGAAATTTGAACTTTAACCTTATCATTTCACTTCCTTTTAGAAAAATAATGTACAGTGAATAAATTGTTGTTATCAACTAAAGGTTAGTAAAAATATCTTTTACTTACCTTACGAAGCACCAAGCATAGCTTTTATAAGTTTTATTTTTAATAAAATTATCAAATATATATTGGTATGAAGGTCAGTAAAACAAAGAATGTTACAAACTACTGGCTCTTTTTTTGCAAAGATAATACATAAATGGACACAATCAATGGGATTTGTCAAGTCATTTATTTAAAAATCAAATCAGTGGATTGTGAAGCAAATATCTTTATTCGCTTTTACATTTGCATCATTCGTAGTCAAGCATATCTACACGCTGCAGGCTAATTAATCACTTGATAAATTATGTAGTTAAATATTCATATCTTTACAGACAATTCAAGTTGCGCAGCATAAATTATTCGTTTTATTAATATGTAGAAAATTAGCTGTTCTACTTGTATGTAAAGTTATAATTATGAAAACTATATTCGTGAGTGCGTAAGTGCGTCTGTGCACCGATTCGTAATTCCTTGTCCTTCAAATGTAACTAACAAACACAACTGAGATTAATCCGAAACAAATTTATTGACAAACAGTATTTGCAGGAACAAAATGCTTACAACAAAACGTTGCAATATTTCAATAAAAAAATGTTCAAAACAAAATGACAAAAATTACAAAATCAGCATAAGAATGCAATGTAAAATATTGAAATGATTGGTTTACATTCAATTTAGGAAATGATTATCAGATGAAGCAGGCCTGAAAATCATAATTATCAACAGCCCCGGACATAATGGACCTATCTCACAAAAAAAGCAGAAGCTTTAAAATCGGATTCAAAAAATTTATGGTAAGCAATTAATTAATATATGTTCTTGAATGTGAGAACTGTATTACTTTCTACTTTTTTCTCCGAAAGAAAAATCAATAGAGCATTGAATTTGGGAAACTTAATGTCTTAAATGAATCTTTTACTACATATTTTAGGCACGAAATATGGCAGTCTGAAAGCGCAAAGAGTAGAACAATTTGTGATTTAACAATGAATTCCTACATCTTTTAGTATACCTAGAAGCAAATCAGGCTTGATGAAATGAACTGGAAGAATAGAGCAATAAATTTGTAGACGTAGACATAGAGGGTAGAAGTTATTTTTTATTTTTGAAATAATGAGAAGGACCGAGAGACGCTCGATTATGTGAGGATTAGGAAAGGAGGGACAAGTGGTGGAAGATCGGTTTTGCATGACCTGGTTGAATGCTCAAGAAGAACTTATGAATCAACAATTTGATGCAATCTGAACTTTGATGCAACCAGGTCATCGAGACAGTGACGGGTTAGTTGATTCTGTCAAACAGACTACAGTTCTAAAATTTTTGTTAATTTTATTGAAATTAAGTATTACAAGTATTAATGAACGTTATTTGAATATTACTCAGCAATTTTTTTTTTCAACGAAATGAAACAAGTTGAAAATTAAGCGAACACAATTTTGATCCCTTCACTATCTTCTCGTAAGATGGTCTAGAACTATTTTCTTCGGATACAGTTTTATTATTATTTTCGTCAAATACTTCTTAATCAGTTGAAATAATGAATGTTTTATTTAAATTAAAAAAATGTTCATTGTTAAAATCAATCTATGGCCCCAAGATGTGAACAGAATGGCACTCATCGGTTGCTAACATCAGTGAAGCTGTACTTACTGTAAGTTTTTAACTGAATCTTAAATTAACAAATATTGATTTGCTATTTTAAAGTGATTAATATATTTATTCTGTTATAGGCTTAATCATTTCATAGTTGAAATATTACAGTACTTGGGAACTGCAAGAAAACTCCTTTGAGCAATAATCGAAAACAAAAAAGGAATCCCACTAAAATCGACTGGCTTGCAATGAAAGAAGATTAGGCTCATTAAGTATAAATGTAGAAAATTCAGGAATATGAGGTTAGAAAATAAAAGTTACATATTCTGTATTTCGATTTATATACCCTTGAATATGAAAGTGCCATGTGGTGGATGAAACAAATCTTGCGAAATGTACTTCTTGAAACAAATCTTGCGAAAAATTGGGAAGAATAAATTTTTGTTCGAAGTTATTCTAATTCTCAGATATAAATTGAATCCCATCTGTTTATATTAAATATAAACAGCAAAAAGGATCTGCAAAAAACAAATTACTAGCAAAAAGATGCGTAAAATCCGTACAACAACATTAGATGATGAACAATATTCGCATTAAAGAAACGATTGGATGTGAGTTCCTTTTTCAGATGATTGGAAAGTTTTCGCAAACTGCAAATTTATCCCAACAAGCACGCTAACATGATTTTAATTCGCAGTGCTTGCGCTGTTCGGATTTTCAGAAGCCCAGTTATGTGATTAAGTTTATGAAAGGATACCATATGAATTAATACATATGTGCTGTCTGCAAGAAAGGATTCACTTGTTCAAGTAGTTTGAAGAGACATCAGCGCACACATACCGGCAAGAAATACGGATGTGCGATTGTGCAAGAAAAGATTCACAAGTTCGACTTATTTGAACAAGCATAAGCGCACTCATATGGATGAAAAACCATAAATATACAGTATTTGCCAAAATGTCGTATAGTTCTGGTACTCGAAAGAAACACAGATGTGCACATTTATATAAAAATCACTTGAATGTATATGGTTGTAATAAATATGTGAATTGAACTCGACGGGAGCATACCTTAGTCGACGTAATTTTAGCATACAACGCTGTGATAAACTTACAATT